CAGGAAGAAGCTGGTAAAATTTCTTTCCTACGTGAAAAGTTTGAAGAAAAAGGAACTGCTTTTTGTTTACGTTAATTGTACAAAATACGATCGGCGTCTACCAACTTCATTCGTTTTTTTTTTAGCTTAGCGCAGGTCAGTTTTAGTTTCCTTTGCCTATTAGAATACAGCACGTAACATTGGGTAAGTAAATCTTCAGCACTGAAACGTTTTATTCCTTCAAGATACAAGAGAGAAGTGAAAAGTTTGAGAATGAGAAAAGTAAGATAGCTATTCAAAAATACTAAACGGCATTTGGAAAGAGTTACGCTAGTTTTCTATCGAAATCGATAAAAATAGAATCGTAAAATATTTGTATACACAGAGGTAACTGCATTACAGAGGTTATTGCATTTTGTCATATGCTATTTGCTTACAAAAACATAGCAATGGGAAAGAAACAAATCGGTAAAAACTAATTACCTGCTATAATTCCAGTAATGTGCGAACTGCACCACAAAATTAAATAAATACAATTTGAAACAACTGAAGGTAAACTAGTCTCTGACTTCATCCACACTATGTACTTAGAGAAAGAGTTGCGGTTGTTACATAATATTCAACAAATATAGTAAACCCTTTTACTCTACAAGTAAATCAGGTATTATAAACAACGAGTTAACCGATGTTAAGCTTATTATCTGTTCTAGGATTGATTGTAGTGGCTTGATTTATTAATATTTTCGTTTTTCCGACTTAAATGGAAAAATACAAAAATAAAAAAGTTGAAAAATTACGCCAACGCCACCTTTATGGCCAAAGACTTTAGTATATGTTTACTATTACGTTTAATATAAATTTAGATATTTACGATCATATTTGTGTCTGAGCGAAAAGATAGCTATTTCCGAAGCAAACAAAAAAATAACTGCATACAAAACGAATGTATGCGATGGTCGCCCGATTTCTAAAAACATCGAATATATATCGATAAGGAAAACCCTAATCGCGTTAAGGCGCAAGAACACTATCTCTAGAGCCCTATGTCAAGCTTACGTAAAAGCAAGAGAGAGAGCGCTATAGTTGAGTTCCTCGACTAACGGATACCCGGTACTCAGCTAGTGGATGTGCGGGAGAGAAATACAATTTTTACTACTTTGTGCAAGTAATACATACATACATACATACATACATACATACATACATACATACATACATACATACATACATACATACATACATACATACATACATACATACATACATACATACATACATACATACATACATACATACATACATACATACACCGTTACATACACTACATATATACTACACTCACTGCTCGACCGGTAAAAGAGATTACTTGAACTATTTTGCGACTCTAAATTAGAAGACATACCTTACAGTCCTTACTAGAACTAGTTGGGAATTATAGGGCTACAAGAAAATATTTCTCATAAGCAAAAATTAAAAGCGGCAATAACCATGTGTTCCGACAGTAAGTTATTTTAAAATAACTTTAAAATTCTTCAGGCGTTAATTAAGACAATTTTTACTACTTTGTGCAAGTAACACATATACTACATACATACATACATACATGCATACTTACATACATACATACATACATACATACTTACATACATACATACATTACAGCATACTTAAATGATCCTCACATGTGAAAAAGACTTATTCTTTAACGTTGAAATAGATACTATAGAATATACTGAGTAAAAAAATATATTGTTTTTGAGGGGCGTGGTGGGCGGTGGCGACACGCCCATTTGCCAAAATAATTGTTAGCTAAGACTAAAAAACAAAATGATCATCGTCTTTTAAATAGTTTACGTGATATTAATTTGTGCCTACAAAACAGGTCAAATCCCCCTATATTTCACTCCACACACATCAATAATACCATTCTTAACGGCGATATATCTCTCTCTCCCTCTCACTTCCGCCCGCGACCAGACTGCGTTCGGCAGAAACTATAACAGTTATTGCCAAGAGGTAGAGAATGCGAATTGAAAGACTATGCAAAACGAAATAAACAAACCCAAAGTAACAAACAGAAAAGGTTGTTTTATTTTAAATTCAAATAAATCTGCGATATAATGTATGTACATACACATTAAAATTTTGAAAATATTAAAAAAAAATTTAAGTTTTGCTCCAGGCTATGCGGAAATTCCGGAAAATCTTTGGAAAAACCGAAAATAAAAAATGATTTTTAGCTACAAACGTCAACACCACAGTTGGCGCTGTAGGCCAATATCGATATTCGTATAATGTTTGACAGCTGAACATATTTTAATGAAACAATATATATATATAAAAAAAAAAAAACTGCAACTGCTGTCAAACCGCAGTGATCCATAAATAAATTATGAATCAACAAAATTATGTTTTGTCGTGATGAAAATGTGATGTTGTTATATGCAGTCTCCTGTTGAATCTTGTCTTCAGTGCCATAAAAACATTAAAAATGTTTTGAAAAATATATTTGACTTACAAAAAATTGTCCAATAAAAGACAAATTCGAATTAGAGTGCTGAGAAAAGAAAATTTAAATTTAAAACGAAAGGTGATTAGGTTGGAATCAAAGTCCGAAAAAAACCTACTTTCTCAAATTGACAAAATTAGTTTAACGGGAAATGAAAAAATATTGGCGAAAATGCTTCTTAAAGAAAAAAGGGCACAAATACAAGATGGAATGATTTGGAAAAATTGTTTGCTCAGAGGAAAATTAAATTTTTCCCAGTCCATCATCCTTACATAAATAAATTACAGTCGGTAGACAACGAGGGCTTGTACTCAGCCCTTAGAGAAACCATTAAAGAAATGAATGAATCTGAGAAAGAAGGCATATTTACTTGTGATGAAGTAGAAATAAAAAACAAAAAAACTTACAATGTATATGTTGATATAATAGACTTGTGGACTTTTATGTCATCCGAGAGGTTTACGAATTAGATCAGAGATCAGTAACGAGAATGTGTAAATTAACAAGAAGTCACGATAATCCAACTAAATTTGAGCTTATGCGTGTATCTCTGGTAACTCAGACGCTTAGTCACACTGTTTCAGTGGCAATTAAAACTTGTAATCAAAACAAGCAATTTCATGGAAATAGTCCCGAAGTTGCAGCCTAAACTGCTGCATTTGTACAAATGCATAAATACCTAAAGAACGTGAAATATCACGAGAATAGTATGTCGTGATCAAAGGAGCAGATGAAAATGGTGACAACTGAATATAAATAAGCTTTCCGATTAACTTTGGTACTCAAGCGAGAAACTTCAGGAAGAAGCTGGTAAAATTTCTTTCCTACGTGAAAAGTTTGAAGAAAAAGGAACTGCTTTTTGTTTACGTTAATTGTACAAAATACGATCGGCGTCTACCAACTTCATTCGTTTTTTTTTTAGCTTAGCGCAGGTCAGTTTTAGTTTCCTTTGCCTATTAGAATACAGCACGTAACATTGGGTAAGTAAATCTTCAGCACTGAAACGTTTTATTCCTTCAAGATACAAGAGAGAAGTGAAAAGTTTGAGAATGAGAAAAGTAAGATAGCTATTCAAAAATACTAAACGGCATTTGGAAAGAGTTACGCTAGTTTTCTATCGAAATCGATAAAAATAGAATCGTAAAATATTTGTATACACAGAGGTAACTGCATTACAGAGGTTATTGCATTTTGTCATATGCTATTTGCTTACAAAAACATAGCAATGGGAAAGAAACAAATCGGTAAAAACTAATTACCTGCTATAATTCCAGTAATGTGCGAACTGCACCACAAAATTAAATAAATACAATTTGAAACAACTGAAGGTAAACTAGTCTCTGACTTCATCCACACTATGTACTTAGAGAAAGAGTTGCGGTTGTTACATAATATTCAACAAATATAGTAAACCCTTTTACTCTACAAGTAAATCAGGTATTATAAACAACGAGTTAACCGATGTTAAGCTTATTATCTGTTCTAGGATTGATTGTAGTGGCTTGATTTATTAATATTTTCGTTTTTCCGACTTAAATGGAAAAATACAAAAATAAAAAAGTTGAAAAATTACGCCAACGCCACCTTTATGGCCAAAGACTTTAGTATATGTTTACTATTACGTTTAATATAAATTTAGATATTTACGATCATATTTGTGTCTGAGCGAAAAGATAGCTATTTCCGAAGCAAACAAAAAAATAACTGCATACAAAACGAATGTATGCGATGGTCGCCCGATTTCTAAAAACATCGAATATATATCGATAAGGAAAACCCTAATCGCGTTAAGGCGCAAGAACACTATCTCTAGAGCCCTATGTCAAGCTTACGTAAAAGCAAGAGAGAGAGCGCTATAGTTGAGTTCCTCGACTAACGGATACCCGGTACTCAGCTAGTGGATGTGCGGGAGAGAAATACAAATTCTTTTGACATAATGATAGAAGCAAGGAACACAATAATATGAAAACATATTTTGAAATTGTGGGCGGATAGCTCTTAGCGGTTAGTGGGCATGGCCAAAATGTTGTTGGCATATCGATAGAAATCGGCAAATCAAAAACAAACAAAAAAACAAACATTTTCAAATGTAAAAGTGTGGGGTAGGGTATTGAATATTTTCTATATTTTTCAACACTTTGAAGTAAAATATTAGCTTTTTTATAAACAATTTTTTTTTAGAATTGTTATTAACAAACACTGCAATAACTTCCTTGCAACTTTGTCTCAGCAACCTTGTCATTGTGAATTTGTCGCTGCAACAAATAAGACTAAGTTGCTAAACATTGCTTATCCGCCCCTTATTTTTTGTTAGAGAGGGAGCTTTTCGTGAGAGCCAAGCCTATTTAAGCTCTTGCACGCATTAATTTCTTTTTATTCTGAATCTTACCCGCGTTGCTTTCGGTTCTCTCTGCGAATATTTGGAAAATACAGCGGAAATCCTCGATATCCGATAAATCGCGGGGTGAAACAACACGTATGATATCTTATTTAACATATAAGTGCATTTTCGAACGTTTTATTGCTTCGCGACTTTCCAACGCCAACGAACTCAGCACCGCGCTTTTCCAACGGCTTTTTACAAGCGCCACCGTCGCCGCCGAACAAACAATAATAAAGAAAAGCGCCAGACAAAAAGCTAAGCGCTAATTGGCCGACCAGTATTGTAGTACGGCATTTCTTAATGTTTAGTGTTGACTTAGCTCGACGTCGCATCGTGTAAATGGTGGCATATCAATTGACCAGGTTTTCTGTGCTCTGAATAAAAGGGAGCCGCGGAGTAGTGTAATAAAATCAAAATAAGTTGAAAGCAAAAAATCCCTAATACACACGCACACACTGGAGCACGGGAGCGCCACAGTGTGTGTCAGTGAGTGTGGGTGTGTGTTCATGCGCAGGCGCCAATTCTAGTTTCTGAGCATTAATTGCTTTTCGCAATACGATCGAATGGTAGGTGGTAACAGATTTTCATCGCTTTCTTCATTTATCTGAATATGTTTGTTTAATTTTCTTGGATATGTTTCATTGTAAACAAAGAGTGTGCCCCCACGCAGCGATGGCCTAAGCCGCGCTCCACCCCCAAAACACCACCCGCACATTTACTACGCGCGCTTTGCCGGAAAGCTCCGCCTCTGCGACGGCGTAAGCTTTTTCCTTCATTCAAGTCGCCGCTGCTGCAGTCGTTGCCGTTATGCTGCGTGAAAGTTAATTCCGTTTACTATCGGCATTCATCATCGTCATCATCATCGCCACCCACCCACTCAAACCAACCACCCTCCGCACCTTATGCCGGCTTTTTGTGCTAAGCATTTAAGCGGTAATTGACATGCATTCGCCGATATGTGTTGACAGATTACCACTGCTAAGATTTTTTGTTGCCATTTGCCCTTTTCCTTTCGGTTTTCCTTTCCCTGTGAAAGTGTGGCTGGGTTTCCGAGGGGTGGGGATTACTATTACGGCGGGAATAGGGTAGTGCAAGCCACATAGCCCAATTTTTATCATCTCGAGTGCGGCTTCAGGTGTTGCTTTGCAGGTTGAAAGTATTTGACCTTGGAATTTTATTTGCATACTGTGTTTTGGTTCTAAATTGAAATAATTTATGCCCCGATTTAGACTGGTTGTTCTGTCATTTCTAGGTATTACAATTGTCTTTAGGTTCTCGCGCTAAATGTGCTTACTGCACTCATAGTAATAAAACCACTAGGTGAAACCTTAAAAGTCGCACTACCTCATTATGTAAGAGGGTCTGAGAAGCACGTTTTTGATTAGAAGTATTGCATGCCAAAACATACTGTGCTGTATACATTGTACATGTGCTGACCATCTTATCAATGGTGCACCAAAACAAAAAATAGTTTTGATGTTAAAGAAATTAAGTAGAATACAAGTATTTACGAAAATCTCTGAGCTGGTACCAAATTTATTGTTTGTTGCAAAGAACTAATAATCTGCTCTACTCCGACTAAACAACTAAAAATGCTCTTTATGTGTTTAAATAATATTTTGAGATAAGTAAAAGTAAACTTTTACTTTATCGTCCTGCTTTGTTCTCTTCTCCAACCGTAATAAGGGTATTTGGTGATAACAAATTGGATTAGCAATGTATTCTCTGAAAATCCGAACATAATGTCTATTTTAAAGGTCTTAGCTCAGGAAGAGCGACCTAATTATAAGCTTTCCTGGATCACTTACATATCAGGCATAGAAACTATATTTTTAGAAAAGTGTAATCCGCTTTTGGGCTTAACATTCTGCCGCTTTCTCTCTCAGAGAAGGAAACCAAATTTCGCTAACTTAATCAGAGCGACGTGCAATTACGTGCATTAGAGCATTTCCACTTGGTCCTTCAGCCCCCGGCTGCTCAAATCCCCACTTCCACATCTTGTTGGCTGCTTAGTTCCTTTCTTGGGCCGCCTCTTGTTCCATTTGTTTCCGTTACCTTCTGTCATCCATCGCGCCTTTCAACAGCTCAGCGAAGCGGCTGAGAGGCGACGGCTACGGTATCGTCGGGAAAATATCGCACTTAAATTGCACTTAATGAAGCTGCATCATCACATTTTGCATTTCATGAAAAGGTACACTGAGAAAAGAAGTAAGGAATTAGCATTGGTTAGTCATTTTAATATTTCTTAATTGTTTTGGTCAATTAGTCTTGTACTAAATCTATCATTTACAATATTACAAACAGTTATAATCAAATAGAAATTGAAATCGATAAAAGGTACAACTAAGCGACACAGTGATTATGCTATAATTAAACATCATGTTAACTATGAAAGCTTGAGTCAATTTTAATGTTTATCTGATCCTTTCAAAATGATTTTTGTACCTTCATTTATCTTAAACATTTTAAACTAAGTTAAATTTGCCTCTGTACTGGCAGAGAATGGAGTGGTCCGTTTGTCGAAACGGTTCAGTGCATTGCCATTTCTTTTCGTACGTGAGCAGATTCCACTTGCATTCAGCAGACAAATGAGTGAAAATTATGCCAAGACACTGGCAATTAATAAGTGGAGAACGGCATTGTAAGCATCCGCATTCCCTTCTCCCTTCGCCTGCCGCTTGACTTTTGTCTCTGGCCACCTGCTGTTAGCCGCCTTCAGTGATTACAGACACTCCGCACACCTTGGTGCTACACGGTTCCACCCGGCAGTACCCACTTCACCTGCGATCCCCTTCAATCCGAACGTCTCATTTCCATGCTCGCATTGGGGGTGTTGAGTGTTTGCCAACGGCTGTACATAATAATCCCTGGTCGCTCTGCACTGCACGAAATCAGTTGGTTATATTATGAACCTGGGGATCGGGTGGGTATCTTGATTTGTTTTTAATGGGGCTTCCCAGCGATAGCTGGGATTGATACAATAATTGGGTATTGTTTACATGCCAATGAAAATTTGTAATGATCTTTGATGGAATCTTTAAATGGAACTCGCTTTCCTTTCCTAGTATATACTAACATAACTGCTACCTTATTATTATGGGCACAGTAACCGACTCGGTTCAGTAAGTTATATATTCAATTAAGTTTAAGAAAGCCCTTCCTAGTCTGTACTAAGAACTATCCAAATTATTTGTGAAGCCCCATTCACGTTTAGTAACTCGAAATTGCTTTTGGCTCGGACCACCACAGAACGGCACCTAATATAAATGAGCAGACATGAAGTGGTTCTGGGATTGAAATTGGGCAAACACCAGAGCTGTGGCCATAAAACCATCGCTCCAAAATGCGATGCACACGACACGACCCCCAGCTCTCACCACCCCCTCCCCCCACACACACACAACACACATAATCCCCTCGCACCCGCACTCTACAATCGATATAAACGCATTTTCATAATTAATCAATGCTGAATAATTTGTCAGACGGAGTCGGGTTATGTTGTGGCACCGAGTGTGGTGAAGGGGGAGTTCCAGGCAGTGTGGGCGGTGCTGTATGTGCTAATAAGCAAATCTCGGAGGTTTTTTTTGGCTTTTATCGGTCGCAGCGGCGGCTTGTGCGGTAAACACATGAAAAATCTATCTATCCGAATCCCACACACATGAATGGCCGACAGCAGTAGACTAGGTCAACTGTAAATGCCGCATTCACACTGGGACACAAAAAAGTGGTAGTAAGGGACTATAAATAGGTGTGGAATTGGGGATTAAAAGAAAACTTACGGTTCATTGTGGGACGAGTTATAAGTTCAAGGCTAGTGAGCTAAGTGCTTGTTTCGGAAATGTCTCTTTGTTATATAGACAATCTATTTTATAACTCTATTAAATAATTTTATATATTCTTATATATAATTTGATTCACGAACTTGATTCACGAAGTTCATATTTTAGAACCCAATACAGTAAATTTACAGAAGTAAATGTAACTTTAACTGATTCTTCTTCTTGTGCAACTCTTACCAAAATAAATGTACTGTATAAGCAGGTGTAAACGCAACGCTTCTAAGCTCATACAGTTTTTTTCCGCTGAGTTCTCACATTACAAAAATAACTAAACAATACTAAACCAACTGGGCATCCGCCCTTTTTGTGGTCCACAGGTCGAGTGTGTGATGCTGTCCGTGTGTGCGGCATGTTTTGGGTATTATGTGTATTTAAAGATCATTAGTGCGCAATTTATATGTAGATATTCCGAGTATACGTACGTAAATGCGTATCGATTTCCACCAGTTGAGCAGTAAGAGGGCTTAATGCCAGCCCAACGTGTTGGCATTGTTAAGAATGATTAAGAGGCTTCGATGGCATCAGTGCGCAGGAGGTGGAACAGGTCGAGGGGCGGCGGGTTGACGAGGCTGGGTAGGTCAAAAGGTCGGGAGGTAGGTGCTCTGTGGGCCGACTACTCCAGGCGGTGTCAAGGCCAAGCGTCAAGACTTTCCCCTTTGTATCCCATGTGGGTGCTACCTTAATCGAAGTTAAGCCGAATGTGGGGCCAAATGACGAAAAAATGAGAGCGGCGGAAAACAGGACGATAAATTGGCTTAAATGACGTTAAATAACCATTAGAAAAGTCCTGCGTTCGGCTTCGACCCAGCAATTATATTTCATATTTTCTGAAGGTGAACGGTTCGGTTTCTTGCATCGAATATCTAGATTATGCACAGGCGCTTTTGCTAGAAAACATAAAGGGTAGGAAATCGCTAGGGATATACTTTCGAAATATTTTATGTATTTTACAGTACAGTTACGATGCAGTTTTTAGTCCGTTGGACACAATGCTGTGAAATTGATTTTTCCATTAACATTAAACGATTTTCACCTGGATTTTCTCCCCCATTTTCCCAGGAGCCCCAAAGTATGCAATAAAAAGTCGCTCCGCATTTTAAACGACCATTCAGCATGGCCTTTCTTTCTCCGCCACCCATCCGCAATATATCGTTGTCAATTTGGCCGATTACGATCAAGATTCCATAAAACGTATAGGAGACCTTGCCGCCATCAGCCGGAGCAGCATTTTTGCATACATTTACCATTAAACCGTCGGAACCTGGATGGTTCAGATAAAAAGAATTAAATGCAGGGTCGCGGCGGGAAAGGACACGGATTGAATTAATGTGGGGAAACAATGTGAGGGCGACAGTTGCCACTCGCTCTAATGAAGCAACATTTGCACACAGATACTGACATACCCACACATACCCGTTTTAAAGAGCGGAGCAAATAGCGAAAATTCCATGGAGCTTCTGCGGCGGCAAAAAGAAGCCAGAGCCGGCCATAAATATTTTTCGAAATAAATTCTCGTTTACAAATTATGATTTTATGACTTTTTGATGGCCCCGCCGCAAGACCCACACTTACGCCATTCCCGCTTACACACACACACACTTACGCAGGGTAATATTTTTCCGCTCGGTCAGAAGGAGAGTGCGGGGGAGGCCGATTCGAAGGGAAAACGCTTTACGTATTTATGGCAATTCCGCATTGGGCTGCTGCTGCTGCTGCTGCATGCTGGTGGTAGTAGTCCTACTGCTTTATGTATCGATACAAAGGACCTCCTTTTTCGCCCATCACCAAGTTTGCATTACAAAAATTGGAACAAAAAACAAAGCGAACAAATCGCACAAAAAGGCGAGCCTTAAAGCGGCGCCAAAAAAGTTATTACACGAAAGCGAGAAAAAATTCGTTTCGAGTTGAATGCAACTTGCATGTGTATGAGCCTGTGTAGTATGTATGTATGTATATGTGTGGGTTGCAGCAGCTGCTGCCACTTCCCAGTATTTGTGCTACGTTTTTTTGTACGATTTCCCACTGCCTACTTTTGGGCGCATAATTTATGACCGCCCGGCGTTAAATTAGCCAAAGCGGAGCATGAAAAACGACAGAACGCTGGCGACAAGCGACGTCCGGCGCTTATTAGGCGATGACATGGGCTGGAGTTCAATGGCGCTGAGGGGCTGGAAGGGGGTCAGATTGCCAGGGCGTTGCAAAGGGGGCGTGACACACATCTTTATAGGCAGTGTAATCTCCTTTGGGCCAAGTCAGCGGGCCGCTATTTATTTTAGTCTACAGACGGGGTATTTTGTTAAAGTTCTCACTGCCAGATTTTTTCGCAACTTACCATATATTTATTTTAAATTTATATAGCTAGAATACGTTGAGCACAGTGGAAATTGCTAGAACTTTTTTTCTATCTATGTAAGATAAAAAAAATACGGTCTACAATACTTTATTTACTTCGAAATAATAGAGTCAGACTCGCGGTTATATCTTGAGGAACCATTGTATGTATATCAATTCTTGATCATTTTTTAATATAGTCATGTCCTTCTGGTCGTCCGTCCGTTTCTATGCAAACCAGTATCTAGTTATCTTCTTTTTCTTCTTTCTATTTCAGGTAGTGTATCTATGTATGTACATATGTATAAAGCTATGTACGTGTATCTCGCTTTGTTGATTGTTTTGAATACAATGAATGAATGCATTCTTAAATAATTTTAAATGCCTTATTCGACCCTCAGAGAGTAATAATAATAAATGCATTTATATAAAATGTCAAAATCTATCTCACAACTTTCAGAGGAAAACAAGCGCCTTAGCTATAACTTATTATTAATAATCTAGTAATGAGCAAATAAAATGCAGTGGTAAATAAAAAAATAATTTTCCATTTCTGAATCAAAATGTTATTCGACTATTATATGAATACAGTTATACAATAGTCAGGAAAGGATATTAAATTTCGTTCTTAGTTTTAAGATGTCGCAGCAATATCGCATGCATAACCTTTAGACATTGAAATTAAATTCTTGTGGCATTGCCTGAAACTTACTGAGGAGCGAATTGTTAAGCCCCTTTTCAATCTCAGAAGTCAGGCCTCGTGCGTCCTTAAATGGAAATATTCATGTACGCCCTGAGTTTGTTTGGGTGTGCTTACTTACAATTATGAGCGTGTTGATGACAACGTTGCCAGCGCCCTCGTCCTTCGTCCTTCGTCTCAAGCAGTCACACACTTGGAAAGATTTTTATAAATTTCGCCTTCTTGGGTAGGGGCCCTGAGCTGCGGCATTGCAGTAATAATTACAAATGTTGCACAATAAATTTGCAAAGTAAACAGACTTGGTGACGGCAGCACATTCGAAGAGCAGCAGCAGCAGCAGCAGCAGCAGAGCAGGGGCAAAATTACTTCCTGCTGAATCGTAGCGGAAATGTACATACAAATGGCACTCACACAGGCGCAATCACAATCACAGAAACAGGATGTGTCTGACTGGAGCAGTCCTTTTCCGGTTGAGAGCGTGAGCACGAAATCGAATTGGATGTTGGCAGCACACTCCTCTCCCTGCAAACTGGGGGATTCCCCCTGCGTGTCACTATGGCATCTCTGGCAGGAGTCCTGCTCCTCGGAGAGTGGCAACTTGTCAAATAGAAAATCATAGAAAAAAGTCCCGCGGCGGCGACAAGATGCGTAATTGCAGAGCTCCGAGCGGGGAACTGTTGCACTGCGGCTGCCAAGGATGTGAAAGGATGTGTGTGGAAGGATGTGGCCGGATGTCGAAGGATGTGTGCCCCAAATGCCACGGCTTTTTGCATTTCCGCCCTGTTTTTGCCACCTCCACCCCTGAATACTCCTATATTCTTGACTTGTCGGAGAATGCAATAAATCCTGGACTGGCAAAACAATGACAAATGTCCTTTCTTCCGCTACGCATTTCTGCCTCCGTGTGTGTCATCCACAAGCCGGACATTTAATTTGATATCCGCTTATCGCCAGCAATTCCCTCCAGCCTCTATCATCTGCATGTCTAACTGAAGATACCATTGAGCTGTGATTTTATCTTAGTGCCCCACCTGGTTACGGAAGTAATGTGTATTTCTCTAATGCCACAAATTTAACTGGCTGCATTTCCATTGTACTCATTTAATAACCACAGTAAAAATTTAATCGCTTATCTTCGCAATTAGTGTTATTTGACTTAGCATCCGTTCAACTGTCACACTGTTAATTATTGCTCAAATACCGATAAATTTGGCTAAGCTTTTATTTTATCAGACAGTTCAAATTAATAAATTTCACATGCAGCGAGGAAGCGCTTTACTGCTGGGCCGTGCTATGGATTTATTATTTTAATATTATGGGTCACATAAGAAATATTAATTTTAAAGTTGCATGCCAGGTTTTAGAATTTAAATTAATATTTATTTTATTCTTTCTGCTTTGTAGGCGTCTACCATGTAGAATCACATATCAGCAACGTGCATTTCAAGTCAGAGAGGAACCATGGTGGAATCCTCGAGTCTGGGGAGAACCCCGCCGGCGGCCCAGCAGCCAATTCCGCAGCAGCACTCCCCATCGCCCTCAGGACTGCGATGCGGCAACATGGAGACGCGTGTACGTGGCGCGTGGTACCGCGTCCTGGTCACGCTGGAGACCGACTTCCTGGCCGTCAGCCTGGACGAGTCCTGTGAGGCGGCGCAGCCATCGAACGATGGACAATCTACTACCCTGAATGGAACCATGGGGTGAGTTGCGGTCTATAGGGAATAAAAAAGCACGGGGATCGATTGTTTCAAGAAACGTCTGTGCGATTCTTTAGGACAAGAGTCATTAACTATACCCGTTACTCTTAGAGTTAAAGGGTATACTAGATTAGTTGAAAAGTATGTTACAGGCAGAAGGAAGCGTGTCCGATAAATAAATAAATATATAAAATAAATAATATAAAATATAAATAGATATATTATATAAATAGATATACATATGTATATATTCTTGATCAGGATCAATAGCCGAGTCTGTCCGTCCGTCTGTCTGTTCGTATGAACGACTCGATCTCAGGAACTACAAAGGCTAGAATGTTTAGATCAAGGATGCATCTTCCAGAGACATAGACACAGTGCAGGGTTGTTGCCAAAACTGCCACGGCCATAATTTAAAATTTTAAATATTTTTTCATTTGTTATTTTATTCGCAATTCTTACCGATGTTCCAGAAAATTATGAAATTTCTCGTTTGCACTTCCACTAGCTGAGTAACGGGTATCTGATAGTCGGGGAACTCGACTATAGCATTCTATCTTGTTTTAATTTAAGAACTGCTCAACTACCCGTCATTTAGCTTAAGGGTGTGCAAGTTGCATCGAAGATGCAAGACAGATTTAGGCGGACGGACAGAATAGAGATCCTAGAATATAAGTGCTTCGTAGAATCGCGTCTATTTACCTTTTTCATACTTTTACCAATTCTAATGTAGCCTGTTACTTAAATAGCACCGAGTAAATTGTTTTCATAGTTTTCACGCCGTAGATTGTAGGCTAATGTAATATATATTAAACAACAAATTTTATATATTTAAGATTTTTAGGCCTTTAAGTTTGTTACTTATAAACCTAATCCACGATATAGCTAATGATGCAACCATCATTTTCTCCCACAGAAGCAATCACAGTGGCGGAGGAGGCGGTGGCGCAGGCGGCGGGGGATCAGGTGGAGGCGGCCAGAACGGCACCCTGCCCAGTTCCGCGTCGCTGCAGGGTATGAATATCCAGGATACAGAGCTAGACGGCTCCGGCAGCAACGACAATGGGGACCGCGATCCTTGCCTGAACAACAACAACAATGCTGGCGATGGTGGCGGCATGGATATGTGCGACGTACCTGACCATGTGGCCAACCAGAAGCGTCATGTGCGGATCATTAAGTCGGACAACAACGGCCTGGGCATCTCCATCAAGGGTGGCCGGGAGAACCGCATGCCCATCCTCATCTCGAAGATCTTTCGGGGCATGGCCGCCGACCAGGCCAAAGGTCTGTACGTGGGCGACGCCATCCTGACCGTCAACGGGGAGGAACTGCGGGACGCCACCCACGACGAGGCGGTGAGGGCCCTGAAGCGGTCCGGTCGAGTGGTGGATCTGGAAGGTGGGTACAGGATGATGATACATTTGTTACTCCCCCTACCAGAATGTCAAATTGTTATTTGGGTAATACATTTCGCACACACGAAATGCCAAAGGTGGGGTGCCGAAAAAGGGGAGAGCTTAAAAAACGCGAGTCAAACTAAGAAGTAAACTATGGGAGCCATCGCGAACAGTTGGGTACAGTGGGATGGATTGTAGAAATAAGAAATGGTTGTGTTTATTGTCATATTATTGGGAAAAATTATGGCATATGGAACTACTTAATATTCCATGTATTTTATTCGAGCTCTCCATTCCAGTCCATTTTATTGATATAAATCCTTGTATAGCTGAGATTTAATCGCTGTTGCCAACTATGAACTAGAATCCAACTGAAAATGCAGATCCGCCTCAGCAACCATAAATTTGAAGTATGTTTTGTCTGCTGCTTGTTTTTGTGATAAATTGCGTCTTTAATAATCCTCGTCCCCATCCTCAATCCAGCACAGATAATCTTTTACAAACTTGTTCAACCGTGATTAATTGACCGACAGTGGGGATTCTTTTTTGTGCCGTTGTTGTGCCACCCGTCCCATGGTGGTGTAGCGAGCTGGAAAGGCGGAACAGAGGGTTTTAGTGCAAATACATACGTGGGATTACTCAGCAAAACATGCGAGTCACTGCCGCAGCCACTGCGACTGCTATTGCCACTGTTGCAGCTGGGTCCTCTTGAAATTCCCCAGCATCCAGACCGCTTTTGCCGCGAATCCTCCTCTTCCCGCCAACCCACTCTTGTTGACTGTTAGCTGTTGACTGCCGCTAGTTGCGCTGGTTTGTTGGCTGGCTGGTTGGTTGGTGCGTTGCCTGGTTTGTTTGCCCCGGCTTGGCAATGAGTAATGAGAAAAGTTTTCTTTCCATTTGATCAAATGGCCCAAAAATACATAGCCGCCTTGTGGGTGGTACACCAACGCCCAGTGGCGTCGAATGGCAAAAAGCGAGAACGATTCACATTGGGAAAGGTTGGATCCCTGCATCCCTAGGATGCATTCTCAACTGTCATAGTAGCTGACAAGCAGGAGCTGGCAGGTATAAATATAGCCAGAGTTTTAGGTGATGAAAGCGGAAGCTATTATCAAGGTTTGCTAATCTATCGGAAAAACAAAATTCGCAAAATACTTGGCTGTTTGGTGGGTATTGCCACCTTTTTTACCCCCAAAGACAAGGCTACTATTTAACACAACTTGGTTTTCAATCGGAGTTATAAGCTACTCGATAATTGGCTCTTGAACGGCTTAGCGAATCATGGCTAACTGCAAGAACACTCTAGAAAAGGGATACACGAGTCCCAGGCCAGAGCTTATAACAACTCAAGTACATAATCACACCAGCATATCATCATCGTAATCATAATTGCAGGCAGACGAAGGACAATACCTAATCAAAATGGTCAGGAGAGGTTGGGGCACCGCTTCCTGTTCATCTCCATTGAGTTGTGTTTTGCTCCGCTCCGCTCGGCTCCTGGTTCATAACACAATAAACAATAGTAAGCATCAATTAGGCGATGTATGGGTGGAATGTCCTTGCACACGCATAAATACACGCAGTGCCCCACAAAGCGGCAATCCCAGACACACCCACTTGTGCATCCCGTGGGCGTGACCCAATCACATGCCAAACCATTTGCATAAACAATGCAATGAACCGGGCACGAGGATTGTGCTGAAAAACTCTTCCCCTGCAAAATGATGGAGAAGAGGATGCAGTCGGTGCTGGAGCTGGAGTTGGAGTTCCAGTAGGATTTGTAGTGAGGACCCCCAATGCCATTTCCTGACATACACATTTCCTGGGCAGCTGCTCCAGTTAAGCAGTCGCCTTAATTAGGTTCTGCGAGTTATCCTTTCAAAATCTATGGAATTTCCAAGTATATAAGATGAAAACTATTAAGTTGTCTCAATAAATACTTAAGAAGATAGGGAAAGAAGAAAGACTAATATTATATTATTCTAGTGTCTTTGGTAATACTAACATTTTAGCTCCCCATTGCCTATGAAAAACAACGTTTTATTCCTAAACCACTTTTAAATTGGAAAAGTTATGGGGAAAACCTTAAAAAGCTTACCTGCTATGGTGTTTTGATATTTAAAACTTGCGTGTGATGTAAGATCGAATTTCATAATTCCTGTTAGGTGTTTCCAATTAAATGTGTTTCGTAAAATAAGTCCCAAAAATTCAGTAGAAACAAGTACGTATATTTTCGTTCAAATAGTTGTCACTCGTGGACAGACAAGTGAATTCCTAAATCCGCCTCAGTCATTCGCTCCTGCGGCGCTGATGTGGCTGCTCCACGGCAAGGATGAGGCGGCCGAACTGGGATCCCCTGGCGCCCAAGGGCAGCAGGATCAGGCGACCACTGGTCAGCTCGTTGGTCAGCGCCTCCTCCACCGCCGCCTCCTCTTCAACCAGCTCAACTTGCGACTCCTCCAGGTCCTCCAGTTCGTTCTCGGTCTCGTTCAGCTCAGGCACTCCGTAGGTGGCGGCGGGTGGCCCATAGGTTCCAGCTGGCGCGACGGCCTTGACCTCCGGCTCATCGTTCTGCGACTCCGCTTGGCCCAGGGCAGGGACATCAGCAACAGGCTGCTCGCCAGTAACAGCAACAGCGTCAGCGGCGGCAAAGTCCTCGACGGCCTCCAGGCTGGGGGGCTGAAAGTCGCGGGCTGGCTCCTGGGCCACCACCTCCACGGTGTCCGGCTCTAGGGGATCCTGCTCTTCAGGGGCTCCATAGGTGTTGGCAGGCGTGCGGATGGACACTTCCAAGTCCGCTTCCGTCTCCGCTTCCGGCTGCTGCTGCTCGGTGGTGCTCAGTGGTTCGGTACTCTCCAGGGTTTCCACTTCGCTCGCAGACGTGGTACTGGTGGTCGTCAGTGGTTCCGTCTCGAGCTTGGGCTGCACTTCACCGGGCAGATTAAAGGGAACCCTGGGACGGAAGCCAGCTGCCGGATAGGGTGTGGAAGAGTACTCCACCTGGCGTTGGCTCTTCGCCCGGCGCTGTGGCATGGCGGAAACGGTGGAGAGCGCCAGGAGGCACACGGCCAGAATCAGGATGGGTTGACTCCTCATGTTTGGTGGTGATTGGTGGACGAGTGGTAACAGTTTGTGCCCGGCTGCTGTGGGTGCCTCCTATTTATGCGAGGAGTGCCACCGATGCTCCCATCAGAATTCAGTAACGGTCGCAAGGTCGCCTTCGCCTGGGGTTATGATAACTCACTCGATCCCAGATGCATAGTACGAATGCGAATTTGTGGAACAACTGACAAACTGACAAACTGACAATATTCGCGCATTTAAAAACGTATCGTGGGCCATCAAAGCAGCCATCAAGCTCAATGTTAATGTCGCTTTAATATCAACAACCGACCTGCCCCATCCCGCACAAGTTCAGTTCCATCCCGTGCTGAGCCCTCCAAGACTCACGTCATCGTCTCCAACGTGCCTCGCATGCCACGCAGCACGGAGCTCAAAGTATCTGTCCCAGAGTCTGACTCGCATTTAATTTTGGCCAGCACATGTCCATGCTGAGCTGCTGGTGATCCATTTCGCCGTCTCTTCGGGCCAAAAATATAATTCAGCGAACCAATTTCAGGGGCTGAACTATTTTCGCAGAAGTTCGCCAAAGCTGCGAAGCCCCTTTACTCTGCTTAGAAGTTGAAGAACATTTTACTTGTTTACTTTTTTTGTCACAGTAATAAATAATATGCTTTGGAGAATTGATACATCTTAACGTTATAAATGTACATATTATTTTTTATAAGAATCTGCATACAATTTGAACGGTCATCTTTAAGAAGTCAGCAGCAATAAGTATCTATAAACATTTACTTTATTTAAGCTGATTTACATTTACTTAATCGCCTGTTTGCAGAACCCACATCCCTGTCGATAAACCAATCCAATCAATTAGCTAATTTACCCCGCTCCTTGGTGCCCAGAAATTCAGAAATCTGCCTTCGCCGCTCGTTTAGCTATTGAGTGCGCATTTTGATTTTCGGCTTTGGGTTTGCGGTCGTTTTCATAATTTCGACGGAGTGCTCATTAAATTAAAGTGGCCCAGATCTATAGGACGCTGAGCGGCGCAAATGTAATCACAATTTCTAAAGGGGCGGCGACAAACTCGGCAGCTAAGAACTTTCCCGCCCCCTTTCCACCCACCGACTTCGGGCCAGCTCCTGATTCGAACTTCAATTTACAAGTTGGCCAAGTTGTTTGCCAAGCTCCGCTGGCCGCTGGCAGTCTTATTGTAATTTAAACAAGGCGCGGAACGGGTGGAAGTCTGGTGGACCTGCAACTGGGGAACGAGAACGGGAACGGGAACTGGAACTGGATTCCAGCTCCGACTGCCAAATGTCAGCGAAGAATCCGACGGAGGAGGCGACGACAGTTGGCTTTGCCCGCCTTCGCCTCCCAGAAGTCCATTAGCAATGGTTTTTACAGCTTGGCACACATTTGCGGACTCACCAAGCAGCTACCCCAACCCACCACCCACACCTAAGCCCACCAGTTCCACCGCCACCCAAGTGCCCCCTGCTTTACCAACCTGCCCACTTCCTCGCCAGGAACTCGTGAGATTTTACTCGCAAAAGTTTTGCCCAAAGTTTGTTTTAACGCACGATTTGCCGAATTCCGAATGCCTCCTGCTGTTGATATCATATTCCGACCGGCCACGCCCACTATACGGCCGCCTCTTTGATTTATGCTTTTGGGTGGCAGCTCTGCCGGATTTTCAGGATTTCCTTTTGTCGGCAAAGGTGTAAAAAGTTTTTTGCCGGGCTGTGAATTAAGTGGGATAATGTGGAAAGGGCAAAAACCAACGAGTAGTGTTAAATGAATGCGTTTTGGGTAAAATTATTATAGTTCGAATGATCTCAGAAAGCTGTGTAAAGCAAAATGCAGGGAGCTTAAAAATAACTCTTTAAACTAACCGAAGAGCTGAAGATGATAAGCAAGCTTAATCCAGAAGAATGGCTAAAAGCTTACAAACAAATTACCAATATATTTCAAAACATTACCATTTTAATTCTTTCTATAAAATAATTTATTTTATTTATGCTGAGAGGCAAGAACGTGGTAATTCAATAGTTCACAATGTTGGGATTTATTAAAATAAGTTTATGCTGAAATTTATGGCAGCTTTTAGAAGATACAAATTATAAGATCTTGCAGCTGCATAAAGGGCAATTTAAAATACAATTTAAATCTTTTGAAAATAATAGTAAGCTTTGGAAAAAGCTAACACGAATTAAGCAAACACTCCCAATAAATAAATAAGTTTCCTGTGTGTTTTCATGAATTTTCGTTTGCATTAAAAGCATCTCAAAAATTCGTTTACTCACCATTTCAAGTCATACAGACTTAACCCACATGCTAGAAGCACTGGTCAAATGCTTGACTTTAATCTTCAGTGGATTGTTTGTAAGACCTTATTTATTTGAAAAATGTAAGCGAAAATATTCATACTTTTTTTTTTTTTTTTTTTTTTATTGTAGTTTATTAAGATATACAGGATAGCTATGAACCCTTTTATTACCTTATTTTCTATTGTTTCTGCCAATTGGCGCTCCGGCTATAGGGAATATTTAATATAGCTTTTTCTAGTTTGGTCTAATACTCTCATGTTGTTTTATAATTAATGTTTAGCTATTAAGCTATTGTTATCTTAGCACTAAGTCTCTTGGTTGACGTCTTTTGATCCTCTGCCTCGGTCGAGTAATGGTGAGATCATTAGCGAGACGATTCCTGTGGTTCATCAGTCTTGAGTTGTACCGACTGGAGTGGAAGTTGATTTGTTGTAGTACCGTAACTAGTTTTAGGTCCCTATGTAGCACGCTATTTCGAATGTACCACTCACAGCCTGTAATTTGTCTCGCTATTTTGTTCTGGGCCACCTGAATTTTTTTGATTTGGCTATCTCTTGCTATCCCCCAGATTTGGCAACCATATTGCCAGATGGGAGCAATGACCTGCTTGTATAGGGTGAGCTTATTTCGGGTGGAGAGTTTACTGTTGCTTCTTAGGAGCCACCAGTGCTTTGTCACAGCTGCTCTCACCCTTGTTTTGATGGCTGCTATGTGGGGAGCAAATGTGAGCCGGCGATCTAATGTTATGCCAAGATATTTGGCCGTACTACACTGCTGTACCATCTCCTCACCTAGTTGAACAGCAGGTGGTGTTTTCCTCCTTAGTGAGAAGCACACGTTAGCTGACTTTTGACCATTTATGCCAATATTCCATCTTCTTGCCCATTTCTCGTACCTGTCAGCGTACTCTTGTAGGCCGTCTGCTGCTTCATATTCGCAGGATGATCTGTAAGTAACACAGACGTCATCGGCGAAAGTGGCTAGAGTCATCCTGTCAGGGTTGGCGTCCATACTAGCATTTGGCTGCGGCATATCGTTGGTATACAGACAGTACAATAATGGACCCAGTACACTTCCTTGAGGCACTCCTGCACTGACCTCATGTATCCCTGAGGTTGCGGAGTGGAAACGTACTGCGAACTGCCTATTCGCCAAGTAGGACCGCATTAGCAAGTAATACGGTGCTGGTAGTGTCATTTTTATTTTGGCCAATAGGCCAATATGCCAGACTCGGTCGAATGCTTCCTTAATGTCCAAAAAGAGCGCATTGCAGTATTCTTTCTCATCGTAGGCTTGCAATATTTGGTCAACGATGCGGTGCAGTTGTTCTATTGAACTGTGACCTGCACGAAATCCAAATTGGTGATCAGGGATGGCTCTTCTGGATGACATTATCCCAGCAATTCGGGCAGAGATAAGTCTCTCAAAGATCTTCGAGATTGATGGGAGGAGACTGATTGGCCGGTAGGATGCTGGGTCACTCTCTGGCTTTCCGGGCTTGTGGATCATACTCACTAAGCCAAATTTCCACTGGGCAGGGAAGTAATGCAACCTCAACATAGCGTTGAAGATCAACGTTATGTAAGAGATCGCGTGAGTAGGCAGCGCCTTCAGAGTAGCGTTGCAGATGATGTCGTGGCCTGGTGCTCTTTTAGAGGATTGGCGGTTTATGATCGCTGATATCTCACATTGGTCGAACGGGAGAATCGGTGCATCCATTTGCAGCGCTTGCTCGAGGACTTCCTGCGTTTCTTGTTTTTCCTGTTGGCTGGCAAGGTTAAAGGGCTTGAACCGTTCAGCTAAGTGCCTAGCAAACACTTCCGCTTGTTCCTTGTCAGAACGACACCATGTTCCGTTCTCATTAGCTAGTGGTGCCTTCCTGGGGCACCTCCTTTTTATACTACGCGTCGCTTTCCATAGAGAATGCCTCGCTTCGCTTCCAGTACCAGTGTTGGTAAGCCTCTCGTCGAACCATGCAGCTTTATGGTCCACCAGTTTCTTACGGAGAATATGTTGAGCTCTGTTCCACTCTAATTTGTCTAGAGGGTGGCGGGACCTCATCCATCTTGTCCGAAGTCGTCTCTTTTCAGCAATTAAAATAAGAATTTCCCGTGTGAGGGGTATACCTGCTGCTACGGGTCTCTGTGTCAACGTTCGTGTAGCTGTTATGGCTGCCGATTTCACCTTTACAGCAAATAGGTTGATTGCGTCCTCAATATCTTCTTCTGAGTTGATTTCTATATCAAGATACAGAGATTGCTCTAGAAGACCGCAGAACATTTCTAAGTTGGTGTGTCTGGTTATCAATCGATCTGCTGTAGGATATGTCAATGCTGTGACATCCAGCGTTATGATAAGAGGCAGGTGATCAGAGCTGAGATCAGGAGCCGATGTTATGGAAGCATGAATATCGAGAACGCCTTTCGTTACTGCAAAATCAATGCAGCTTGGAGTTCCTCTCCTACCGTACGGATACCGAGTAGGACTGCCTGTAGCCAGCGTGTTGACTTCCGTACTAAGAATAAGATCCGCGAGAGCGCGACCTCTTTGATTGCATCTTCCTGAGCCCCAGAGCCAGTGAGATGCATTCCAGTCTCCTGCAATTATAAATTTTCGATGATTTAGCGGTAGTATGTCAGCAAATTCATTTGTTGTCCATGTGAAACGAGGAGGACAGTAAATCGCACCAAAGTCGATCACACCAAGCGCTGTGTTTATTCCTGCAGACGCTATTTGTACTTTTTCGCTGGTAACAGGGCTCAGAGGATAATGCACCAAGCTAGATTTTATAAAGATCGCAGCTCCTCCTCTAGCATTGCCAACACTTGGATCATTAGCTGGATATGCATCAAAACCATATATTTTTGGCACAAAGTTTCCTCGGCAGTGAGTCTCACTAATTAGTATGACATCGATCTTATTTTGTCGCGCAAAGCACTCAAGCTCTGGCAGCTTCGTGGAAACGCCATCGGCGTTCCACATTAGAATGCGCAGCGGCATCATATTGTTGATCGTTGCGCTTGGAGGGCAGCAAGCAAATTAAGAATTTGCCCCTGCTGCTGTGTCTGCTGTTGCTGCTGTTTGAGCATCATCATCATCATCTCCGTCTGTTTATCCTGTAACGAGCGGAGTGAATCGATATTTCCATTGAGGGTTCGCATCATGTTTTCAATGTTATTTTCAAGAGATGAGTGATATGCCGTATTTCGGGATCTCGATGCTGAACGGTTGCGGTTGTTGTCTCGTTGAGCTGCAACTCGAGATCTCGATGTCGAGCGGTTGCGGCTGTTGGTTCGTTGGTTTATGTTTGGGTTGTTCTGCTGTTCATGTTGAGAGACATGCACGCCTCCCCTAGCTGCATCTGCATAGGAGACACCTTGACGAGTGGCTACTCTTGGTCTGCTCCTAGTTTGATCATTTGTCTCGGTTTGGCTATTCACAGTAGGCCGAGCTCCAACTCCACGCTTGGGCCGAGATCGTTGCAGGAACGCCTGGTATTTGGGGCACCCTGAATAGCTTGCAGGGTGCTGTTGTCCGCAATTGTAGCACGTGCACGGTTCACTGCGCGGCCTAGTACAGTTGCTGGCAGCGTGCTCGCCAGCACATTTGACGCAAATATGCGCTTTACGACAGTATTTAGCCGTATGGCCAAACTGTTGGCATCGATGGCATTGCACAACAGCATTGCGCTTTCGGAGGGGCTCAACGATAACCCGCATATGGCAAAGTGCCTTGACTAGCAGGATCTCCTTATTATTGGCCGCGGCGGCAATATTCACGAAGAACATATTTACCGGCTTGGCTACAGGGGTGCCTGGCTCACTGCGCCTCTGGGGCAGATGGACGTCAAGCACCTTGTGTCCGAATTTTTCCAGATCCTCCTTAATCTGGCTATGAAGCGTGCTGTGGTGTAAGCCTTTAATGCAGACTTTAAACGGCCTATCTTCCTTCAGTTGGTAGCAATGGAATTCATATTTTTCCTGCTCAAGCCAACTGACAATGCTACGAAAAGTGGTAGCGTCATTTGCATAGAGTCTCATCATACCGCCAAGTGAAGCCCTAGCTTCAACTTTATTTATGTCAATTATTTTCCTGAGTTCTTGCATGAGCAGAGAGACGTTTTCAATACCTTCCATCACTATGGGCGGTGGTTTGGGCTGCGTCTTGTTGGGAGAACCTGAGGTGCCAGGAGAGTTAGCGGCCCGCTTCGCCGCAGCAATGGCAGCTTGATGACTTGTACTAGGCCTCTCACATAGCACGTCGTTGGCGTTCTCAACTTCCATGTCATCTGGGTGAAGCGCTAGCAATTCGAAACGGTTTGAGCTGCCACTATAGTTCGATTGAGGTATGGGAACGTTATCACCGTTCTTGCCGAGGTTAGCTTTTTTCCCATCAGTCTTTGGGGAGGCGCATGACTTGCGCTTTATTGTTTGAAAGCGCTGCGAGGCTTCACCTGAAGCAGGGCTTTGGTAGCGCGAGGCGGTTCCTGATGTGGACCCATTGACGCTCGAAAAAGCAGATGCCAATGAAGCTGCTGTGGCGGCAAAATCGGATACTTGTAGAGTATCATTATCTGAGGGCGCGTTGACGGCATTTCTAAGTTCCTCTCCTAGAACTGCCTTGTTCTTATTAGTAGCACTAGTAGTCGTTGACTGCGGCTTGTCAAATTGTCCGGGTTTCATCGCACGCCTAAGAGTATGCAATAATATCAATTGATCTTGGGGCAGAATAGAAACTAAAAGCTTCTATCTGATACATAGGCCAGAACTTATCTGCTGCTGGAACCAAATGGTAAGCTCCTCACAGATGTTTGTTAAGCTTTCCAACGGATGTTGTGTTAAGCTTGCCGGCACGTGGCCGTTGGACAGCGGAGCACAATTTAATTAAATTTGATAGTTTTAAGATCACTGCACTGGCACGTTACTATCACTGATAGTGACTCAAGATGTCACTAAGCACTAATTGTGCCACTAATTGTGGACTTGTCTCTGGTGATTAGTGGCGAAAATATTAATAACCGCGAGCGATGATCAGGTGCGTGCTGCTCTTCGAAAGCTGCGAGGAAACTAATATTCATACTGAAGCAGCTAACAATTGTGGCCTGCGGTGGTTTTCAGCCAACTTTTCCATAACTTGTTTGTTTTCCTTGCAACACACACACTCTCAACTTTATTTACACTTAAATGCAAAAATTTGCACAACCTATTACCGTGGTTCTTGTTGTTTCTGCTGTTGCATCTAAACTTTTGCCGCTGGCAGTTAGGTTTTCGTTTGTCGTTTTTGGCTTAGTTTGCTCTGCAGTCCACTCCAAAAAATCCCGCCCGACCATCCGAAACTCCTCCATTCCCTCCCGAGCTTAATCACACTTTGCGCCTGCCGCTATGCAACATTTTTTATATATTATTTCTCCTCTTTTTTGCTTGTTTGTTTGCCGGTCGCATATTTGTAAGTGTAAATGCTTGCGGAGCTCCGGAACGCCCGGGAGTCCCACCTTTCGGAGCACGTAAATGCCGAGCAATTAGCAAGTGGGTGGCCAGCTCCTCCTACCATTGCGCATTACCCATCCGCCGTGGTGCCGTCTGCTCTAATTAGTCGAGATAAACACACGAATCGAGTCGGACGAACCGCCGCCAACCGTCGGCCGATGGCATTAAGTGTGAAAATTGAATTTCCAAATCACTCGAATGGCAACCGAAGACTACAACAACAGTAACAACGCCAAACCAGGAACATGACAACAACAGCAACAGCAAACGGAAATTGTGCAAATGTTGTGGGCGGAATTCTGAGCATATCAAGTGGGCTGGGACATGGCATGGGACTTTTCCAGTTACCGCCAGAGGAGCACCTGGCATCGTCAGCCCCATTTGCATAGTAGTTGCACAGTGGTCTAGTCTGTGATGAATACAGTGGTGTAGAACATATCCCGATATAATTCTGAATTATTTATGTTAGGAACTTTCGAAAAATATTATTATTATTATTGCTTCCACTTAAATCTATGTCGGTTTCCGACAGTAGATCAGTAGTTTGTGAGATACTCCCTGAAAAAGTAAGGGAAGTACTAATGCATAACGGTGGGCCCACTGTACCCTTGAGTTTGACGCTAGTTGGGGACTTTGGGTGTGCAAATCTAATAAAAATGGAGCGGAAACTCTAATGAATTTATGCCGCAGCGTTTGCCAAGACTTCCGCAGCAACAACCGCAACTCGGGCTGTAGCTCTAGCGAAGAAGGCTCCAACTGCGGCTGATTGAATGCCGGGAGTGCATTTGCAAGTGCTTTACTGATGACACTGTGCCCCACATCAAACATCCCGTCCTGCATCCATATTCATGCGATACCGTTTGATTTGCACTGATGCTTATGTCCCCGGTTGGTTCCTCCTGTGTGCTTTGCAGTTAAATTCCTGCGCGAAGTGACGCCCTACTTTCGGAAGGCGAGCATCATCTCGGAAGTGGGCTGGGAGCTCCAGCGGGCCTTCCTCTGTCCGCTGGGACCAGGCGTGCCGACGTCGCCGCCCGCCCCCAAGACGACACCCCGGGCGGATACGCGATACATCCCACTGCAGCTGACGCATCTGGCCAGGAATCTCAAATACATCGACCCGGGTAAGAATCTGTGCAGCACTTAAACCTACTGTCCAAATGTATTTAAGAAATGTATAGCTTGCGAATTCCTTTGATAATATGTGACTGCGCTAAGTTGGAGATCAAGGAAATCAAAAATATAAATTTAATAAAATACAATTTGTTCCATTCTCCCGATATCCCCTGATTAGTGTTATTGAATACCCATAAACACTCACAGCTAATGATACATCTTTCTCCCCTTAGAAAATCGGTGCTTCGAGTTGCATTCGCCGGACGGAGTGCACTCCTGCATCCTGCGGGCAGCGGACTCGGCGGAGGCCCTGGTCTGGTTCAATGCCCTCCACTCGGCGATGGGTACCAGCACGCAGCGGGCCTTGGCCGAGGCCAATCGGGCACTGACCAACCTCATCGGCGAACTGAAACACATTGGATGGCTGAGCAAGCGGATGAGCGGCGGGGGAAGTTCTGGGAGCGCCGGGGGCGGAGCGGCCAGCGGGGGCAGCGGCACCTCGAACAGCGGTGTAGCCGGCGAGTTGGTAAGTGTAAGTTGACCCAACATCCCACTGAAAGTAACTTGGAAACATTGCTGTTCGCGAGACAGAATACAAAACTTTTCAATGAAGGATTTACTTGAAATAAATGGATAATTCAATGCAATTGGCTATTTGATACTGTAGCAGCCTTTAAATAAGCCCCTTTTTCCATGCCATGGTACGCTAAAGTAGAAACATAGAAAAAGAATTAAAGTTAATACTTAATAATAATAAAGAAATCAAATTTGATAACTGGCATGGTAGCCTTCTAACAACTGCAAACTAACCTCACACAGTAGCAAGTTAATTTGAAACAAATACTTCAAGTATATATTTCTACGATCAACAGCCCAGCGGTCGTTCCAGTTCGGAGAGCTCCGATGAGAGTGACAAGTGGCTGCCCATATTCGTGGCGGTGACGGAGCGTGAGTTCCGGATATACGAGAGTGCTCCCTGGTCGGTGGAGGCCTGGAGTCGCCCCCTGGAAATCTACGCTCTGGCCACGACGCGTCTGGCAGGAGCCGGCAACAATTCCTCCCTGAACGTGAGTTAACTGACACAACTGACTCGAAATAGAACAAATATTATAGCAACTGAATCGGCTGCAGGGCCAGCAGACTACGGTGTTCTGCGTCCGATGCGGCACCGCCCGTGGGGTGCTCGTCTACTGGCTCCGCTCGGAGACGCACCGGGACATGGCCGCCTGGGCCAGGTCCCTCGTTCAGGGCTCCCACCAAGCGGTCAACTACCAGAGGGAGTTCTCGTTCCGCTGCCTGTTCCAGGGCCGGCAGTGTCAATTGGTTGTGCACATAAATCGTGGCTTCTTTCTGTACGACTGTGGTGGATTCGCTCCAACCACTCCGACGGTGGCCACCGCCAAGACGCAGCTGTGGCAGTTCGCCTTCGACAAGCTGAAGGGTTCCGCGGATGACGGCGCCAGGATGTTGTATCTGGACTTCGGCGAGGACGGAGAGATTGTAAGTGAGTTCGAAAAGTGGACAAATTTTGGTTAATTGCGATGTATTTGCAGGAACTGGACATGGAGTGCTGTCCAAAGCCGGTTGTTTTCGTCGTGCACAATTGCCTGTCGGCCAAAGTACACAATATTGCCTAGGACGAGGTTGGATTGGAAAGCCAGTCTGATAACTGTTGATGTTTTGGGTGCAATCGATTTTTGTATTTCTACTAGGTACAAAGCTACAGTGCATATGGTTTAGTTATTAGATTGTTCAACGAAAAAGTATTATTGCTTATTTTATGTGTTTAAAGTTTGTTCGTTTAGACACATACATATCTGAAGATATTTATTAAATGCAATAACTGTTATCTGTCAATTAATCCAGATTTAATCAAGAAATTCAAATTAGGACACATTTTGTAAACCTCATTTGTAGATCAGCCTAAAAGACGATCGCAAAATATTATAATTCTGTTCGTATTGTAGCTTCTGTTTTACCTAAAATATTAACATTTACAAGAGTAAGGACTACCAAAATTACGACCTAGTTAATTTAGCAAAGAAAGTATTAGATAGTGGTAGATGAGTGAGCATTTCGCGCTTCCTGGTGGGTTTGGAAATGGATTAGTTGGATAGGATTAGCTGGAAGAAGACAGAAAAGTAGATTTTTGGGAAAAAAACACGAAGCACAAACCAAAAACCGAAAGTAAAGACAAGTAAGACAAAACAAAACCACTTTATGTATCTTGTAAGTAGACGTAAATTCATTTTATACGTGTGTCATTTACACAGGTTACCATCTAAAGTGAAACCGAAAATCGAAATCTAATTCTATGAACTCCACAACATCTACATAAACGTTGAACAATAAATATCGTAATTGTACTTAACTACTTGTATCTTGAATCTTGTATCTAAACGAAGCACACATATCTCGAGGCACCGTCATTGGCGTCGATATCGAGCGCGAATTAGGCTCCCAACTATACTAAATATAAAATCAGATAGTTACCTAAATGATACGAGTATATCCAGGCCATTTCGTAATTTTTCCCCACTCTTCATGTACAAGCCATCGATCAAATGCAATTATTATACATTTATATCACATATAACACGACACATACTCATTTTATGAAATTAGAAATTTCGTTATAGACAAAAACACACAAAAGTAATACAAGTAATGACAGAAGTCAATAAGATAATAACAAAGTATAAGACGTACAATATTTTTAACGTAAGTAGTGTTGAATCTTCTATAATAAACTTATATATAAATACTGTACCATCAACTATATCGTATTCGTTGTTTTATTTAAATGGGAGGGCCATCAGTAATGATCGCTGTAATTTATATAGAACGAAAGTTAGAATAGTACCGAATAATACTCACAAGAAAACGAATCGGTGATATTGACCTTACTTTGACAAGAGCCAACCACAGGAATCCAATTAAAATATGCCAAATGCAATTACTCAAAGTTAACCCTGTTGTGCATTCTATGCCTGCAAATATTTCTCTAGGTTAGCAGGCAATCAATGAACTTGTAGCCTGTTGCTATTGTTGTTGTCCCAAGACACATTCATTTCCTCCTGTGAGCATGTGTGTTTATATGAATTTATTTTCAATTTTATCATTTCCCATTTAGACGAAAACAAAGTCACCCGAAGAACGTGACCAGCATGGCCAACAGCTGGCACGGTCAAGCCACTAACTTTGCTCATCACAAAGTTAAATCGACAGAACTACACAAGCTTTCACACAGATAGAACCACGGCACAGGCCTTCCTTATAGTTGGGGTCAACTTAATAGATACAAGTTGTTTTCCGTACGTAACATTAGCACTAATCCCAATTATCCATTCATCGATTTGCCATTTTATATTTTAATTTTTAAGCTAGCCGCGATTTTGTAACTTGTTTATGTAGATGATTGTTTCTCGTAAGCAGTTTATTTACAAAATGTACTCCGAGGAAGGTCAAGAATAAAAGTACTTGGCGTAAATTTAGGAATAAGGTTGGCAGGTTGGCTACGTCGATACTTATCTTCCCTTTCAGCCAACTTGAGCCACAGACACTACTATTTCAACCTCTGCCGTTTGCGGTCTAGTATGCGTAACGGAGTTAAAGGCAAGAATGTAAAGTGACTTTTTGGGGTTGCCGCTCTGGCCATCGTTGCGGTCAATGGGGTAAGGTGTAAGGTGTAACGACCCAGGCCTTTCTGGCCCCTTCAATGCCGCCACAGACTCGCACAACACAACACCCTCTGGCAGACAGAAACTCACGCCCACAGACGGGGGTATTACATTTCCGGTTTGGGCCACTTGCGGAAGTTTCGCGTTAAATTAAATGCTCAGGGCTGAAATTATGACAGCTCCCGAATGGGTGGGAGCCATTTGTATAAATACGCCCGTCTGGAATGGAGTGCCAACAAATCGTCAGCAAATCGACCAACGAACATGTGGAAAGGACTCAGTTGCGCTCTACTGTGCCTGGCTGTGGTCCAGGCGGCAGTTATCCGGCCCGGAGGGGATTCGGAGGTTCCGGAAACCACCACTAGTGCGGTTATCCGGGATCAAGAGGGGGATGTCACCACCGAGGATTCCACAACTTTGGCGGGTCCTGCTTTGAGTCGCGACGAGGAGGCCAGCATACTGATTGATCCTGCCCCGGGCACGTTACATGAGGATAGCGCCGTGGTGCCAGAGAAGTCCGGGAAGCTCCTGCTGCTCAGTACAACACCCAAGCGGTTCCGTGAAATTGAGCGCCAGCTGGAGGAGCAGGACGACGAGGGGGAGGACAACAAGGCGGATGTGGAGGTAACCACAACTGAGCAGCCAAAGGAAGCCGCGGAGCAGACGGAGATGGAGAAGGAGGTCATCACCCCTGAAAGCTCAACCACAGAGAGCAGCACAACTGCGGCCACTACCAAACTGTTTGCCATCGATGCCACTCCGGCCGGAGTGGAGTCCCCACCTCCGAACGTGGCCATCTCCCTCTCCCTGGACAATGAAAATGCAACGCTTTCGGTTGCCGAGCAGCCGCAGGTGCCCGGCGACAATAATGTCGCCGTGGAGCTGGCCATCGTGGAGCCGGAGGCCGAGTACGTGCTGGTGGATGGCGGCCACGATGACCTGGACCTCCAGCTGGCCAGCTTCACGCACATCGACAGCGATGTCCACTTGCAGCCGGTTGTGCACTCCGTAGAAATCGTGCCCACCAGCTTCGATGATCCTTTGATTGTCAATTACGTGCACAATTTGCGCTGACTTTCCCAAGGAGGCGTGCCAGGACGAATCAATTAACCCGGCGCGGTGGCCACGCGGACTCTGTTAAAGTTTCTTAACTCGTTTTTGATGACTTTTGTTACTTCTTGAATATGCTTATTGAATGGCTTGCTGAATGGCCTTTAACGAAATAAACTATATATAAAAGGACATCTGATTCCTTACTTATTTACAAATCTGTTCATAAATATGGTACTTTGTATCCAAATTTATTGGAGCTGTCGCTTTAATAGAATGCCGTGGCAAATTCACGAAATTCTCACATAAAGTATTCCACAATATTGCCATAAATGTCTGCCACGAGAACACCGACCGCTCAACAAGTACCCACCAGTATAAAGTAGGTTCAATGGTCCCGGCGGATTCGCTCCTCCCGTCACTTGGTGCAGGGAGCACTCACATACTCGTTATTCAATTTGAATCCTCTATGAGGACGGGGTGGGATGGGCTCCACCTCCTCCTCCAAAGTCGCCGAACGCTTTCCGGATGCCACGCACGTTCCACGGTTAAAACTTTGCACATCCGCACGTCAAATTTAATACGGATGTCGGGATGGCGGGAAGTCCGGAGGTCGGGAAGAAGAATTCTCCCGCTGACTCTAGACATAAGCTGTCACCATTTGATAGAAAACACTCCTCCTTCAATTGGAAACGAAAACAACATTTAACAAAACATTCAGTGACGTTAGAGAAATAAAGTTTCGAACGTGCCGGAACTTCCGGCCGCTGAAAAGGATAATTTGTATTCCCATACAAATTTCCAGAATCTTTGCTGTCCAGTTATATAAAAAACAGCTCGAGTTACTCGTTACTCGAGAGAAAATAGTAGTTTATGAATTGAATTGATTTTCACCCAATTACTGTATAAGTAAATACCAAGGCCTTTAAGGTAAATAACAATAGAGAACATTTATTCTTCATTCACAAAAGTAACTTAAAATACTGAACTGTTAACAATGATTATGACTTCCCCGCGTTCGATCACCACCGCTGCTCCTGCGTGGTGTAGACAAATCTCCGCGATCTGGCAGCCTGGATCGGAAGCCGCGATCGCAGGGGAATAGCCACCGGAATGGAGGAAGGAACTCTAGCCACCACCACAGCAGGTCCCACATCGGCAGTAAAGAGCACACTCTCCGAGTCGGGCTCATCCTTGGATCCTGGCTCCGGAGTGGGTTTCAGGGGGTCAGTGCTGACACCGCAGATTGGGTGATCGGCGTTGCTGTCGGTGGAGTTGCTGGATAAGGTCTGCTGCTCCTCCTCCGTATCCTGCTCGGTGGGCAGGCGGAAGGCGCGACTTGGTCGGTAGCCAGCTGGTGGGTAAGGCGCCTTTATAAAAGCCCGACTGGAACGGGATTCCACAGATGGAGGAGCTGTGGTAGTGTCTACGGAGTCCCAGTTGGTGGTCGTGCTCCAGTCTTCGGTTGAATCTGTAGTGCTGCTTAACAAATCCTCGAGTGGCAGCTCGGTTGTGGTTGTCAGCTGATCCGTCCCCAAGCCAGAGCCTTCCTGAACCGCAACTTCCACTACACCCGGCCCTTCTTGGACCTCTACTTCCACTTCGCCTGGCAGCCAGAAGGAGCGACCTTGTGGTCTATAGCCCGCCGCCGGATAGGGGGCATCCCTAGCATCTGCCGGCTGATCCTCCTGCACACTGACCGCATACCGATTGATCCTGACCTGACGCGCTGTGATCTCGACGGGATTAAGGACCCAAAGGCAAAGGAGAACGGGTAGAATACACTGCATGCTGGACTTTCGATCTCGGCCCGAATTTAGCCCCAACTGATCCAGGTACGATTGTGGGCGATACTTTTATACAGAGTTCTCGATCCCGGAGAGTATTGACATGAGGCTTCTATATCGACTCGACATCGATTAGGCGCACACTTAATGATTTATTTTGCATAGCTTTTTGTTTGTTTCTGGTCTCCGCCGGCAAAACCACGTCCGCTGCCAGCTCATATCTCCACCATATCGCCCACATCGCCCACATTATCACCGGTCTCCAACTGCCAACTGGTGTCCGATGTCCACGTCCGATTCGCCATGTTCTTTGAAAATTAAATGCGCTTTGTACGTGACACGAAACTCAATCCCCAGCCAATTGAAAGCGAAAACGGAGCGAAGTCGACATCGTCCACTGTTGTCAATTGCATTATGCTGGAATTGTCAGCTTGAGCATTAGAATTTTTGATTAAACACTTATAATCAATATTTATGCGATCAACGATTTGCCGTTGAGGTGACCGCCAAGGTCACCCAGCCCATTCCCCCAAACGATTGTTTTACGTCACGTCCAGAACTATCATTGCATTAAATGAAGTGAGGATGATTAAATATAAATAATAGCTGTGAGCAAACGCACATACTCGTATGTACAATATATAAACCAAACTTAATTTTAAATTCGTAGCACTTAAACTGTCATTTAAGTAGGAGTATACAAATTCGTTTTACTTTGTACATATTTTATAATATAGTCTGCACACATCAAGCAATTTTACTTTCTAAAACTATTTATTATTTTTAGCAAATAATAAGTTTTTGAAATGAGAATGAGTGTGTTGCTAACTATAAAATATATTTGTTAAATAAAGAATTGGTATTAAAATACCGTAAATAAATTCCTTTCCATATTAGTTTTAAAAATTTCAAGGACTCGTGTCTTGAACTAAACTAAATGTTTGTCCGTCTCCATTTTACCAATATCCGTTAACTTCACCCCAATTTACGACTAGCCATTAATTTCGCCTTCTGTCCCATTAAGAGCGGTTTATTGTTAAGTGATTGGTTTAATCGAGGTGCAGACACTCAGATTTTGGACTGATTTCTGTCGGAACCTCGGACCTCACATCTGCTTCCTCTTTCTGGTCACGTCGTGGGCGCATAAAGACGCCGCAGACACCGCCGATCGTGGGTGACCAGACCATAGTGGAGTGCCGACGTCAGACCATAGGTCCAAAAAAGGATGTCCACGCTGGGTCCACGCGTCGCACATTAAACAGGTGCCCATCCAAGTCCTACCTATAAAAGCGCCCAGGGAGGCTCTTCAAGTCATCAGTCGTTGTTTCGGCCTTCCCACAGCTACACTTCAATCCTTCCATCTCCACCATGGCAAAGTTCCAGCTTATCCTCATGGCTGCAGCCCTTAGCTTGTTGGCCGTTTCCCAAGCCCAGCAGCAGCGCTATTCGCAGCGCCTGAGCCGCGGACGCTCGAGGTACTCCGCTCGCCAGGAGCTGGCTCCCGTCGACGCAGCTGATCCGGATGCCGTCACACCCTATCCCTCGGCGGATGAGCTAAAGCCGGAAGTGCCCTTCGACGAGGCTGCTGCTCCCTCGGCCGCCGAGCCCACGCCGGATGCCGTCTACGGACCGCCCGATGCTGCGCCTAACAGCGTTCCCGACGAGGTGTACGGCCCACCGGACGTGACCGGAAACGATCTGCCCGCTGCCGCTGACATTCCGGCGGAGCAGCAGGCCCGTTTGGTAGCTGGCAGGAGGCCGGCCAACTATCGGAGAGTGGCCAAGCCTGTGGCCTATCGTCGTCCGCTTTCCGCCGCAGCTCGTCCGGCCAAATTGAGTGCTGCCCGGTCCACCTTGCGACGCTTTTAAGGGGATATTCCAGGTAAGGATTTAACAACTCATTAAGAATAACTTTTGAGCCTCCAAAGCAATATTTAAATAATTTTATAATATATAATTATATAATTATTATAATTAATAGCCAATTCTCTATTCAGATTTATATACCCATATGAATTTAAATAGCTTGCATGGTTAATATCTAGAATTTAAATAGTTCTTTCTTTTTTGCTTGCAATTCCAGCAGCCAACTCAAAACAAAAACCAATGACGATCAAAACAGCCACGATGACGACAAAAACACACACAGGAACACTTTTTACCGGATCCCACACTCATACACACGAAACACACATCCGATTATAATATAATGCAAATAAATCTGATTGAGATAGAATGCTCTTTGTCTGGCAGACATACCAGTGACTCACTTCGTCACAGACGGGAAAGAATCTTTCCTAGACGCGTCCAAAAACTAATTTTCTGCCAACTTGATCAAGAAGTTATTGATCATCGGGAGAGTGGGTTAAGGGGAAGACCTGGAACCGGTTTGGGAACGCACGCTTCGCAAATTGGTGACGAATTTGGGATTGCCCCGACCGCAAAAAAACAAGAAATAAGCCAGACTGATCTTCCAGTGAAAAATAAATACTCTAATCTCGAATTCTTTTCAGGTCAGTCTAGGTAATCTGTGTGGGAAAATAGTTCAGATGGATCCAAACGAAACATAATGGAAATCAAATATTTATTATTATAGAAAAAGAAAACAAATGCTGATCTATGTTCATTTGTGCAATTACCTTAACCCTAAACACCCGAAACAGCTCCAGCATGTTAAAAGGAATTATTACGACTTTATATATGAGTATGTTGTATTTATGGAACCATTATCATGACTAAAACCATTTTAATAATAATTAATAAAAATATTGTTATGTATAAATAACAATATAAATGATTCATTTAATTGCATTACTGTACTGTAAGAGTATTTTTAGCCATTAAGATTAATACATTACACATCACAAAGTAAGGAAGCTAAGGAATTGCTCCCTTCATCAATAAACACAGTTTAACAAAGGCAATGACTGCAAATTTTCCGCCTAAATAGAGAGAGTATAAATTACGTATATCACGGGGAATTAAATATTTAATTAGTGTGACTAAAACTCATTACCATAATACACACCGAAATAATACGATGCAATTCTACATAAGAACGTTTTATTACCACTATTAAAAGTGGCTTAATTTTTTGCTTACCTTCCATTAATTAAAAAAACAAATTCAAATTTAGCATAGATACTATTTAACGCATTTTATAATAATGACGACGCCTCAAACATTTTTCTTTCTGTGCAACTTGTTTGATTTGAAGAAAAGCTGCTTCCGAGCAGAGAGTGGAAGCTTATTTAAATGATCTTTCAAGTCGCCTGTACTCAGTTGTCGGAGAAGATCAGGCCAGATTACTTCACGTGAAGCTACCGGAGAAGCTCGTACAGAAAGTGAAATTTTCATTGCAAAAATGTTGAAGCGAATGTTTACCGTGGCTATAATCACCATGACTCTGTTGGAAATTGCCCGAGCCCAACGGCCCGCCTTTTCGGGATTGAGGCCACCAGGTGGACTAAGTCAGAAGGACAAGTACCACGCAACTCAAAACACAGCCGTGGAGAACATCACCGGAGTGGATATCGCTACTAGATTTGGAGAGCCATCCAGTTCGCAGAAGCCAGCTTTAGTCAATCTACCTTTTGGAGCCTCCCAGAGGCCCCCCGTTGGAGTTCCCCTGGTACTGCCAATAAGTGGGTCTGCTCAGGACTCGGATTTCTCGGTGGCCAACCGATTTGGAGCAGAGAACAACCCAGAATCCACATCCCAGTCCACTAGTTCCACAGCCGGAAGTCCCGCAACCTCCGTGACCCCTGTTCTCAGCCAGCTGCCCATCGATGCCCATGGTGATCGGGAGTGGGTCAACCACTTGAGCCAGCTGCCCGTGGAACAGCAGCCCTTCTGGTTCATTAACTACCAGGCAATCGAGGCTCATCGGAACAGCTCGAGACCTAATGTGGGCGCTCTGGAAACGCGGGGATCTTTCTTCCGCGGTTAATTCCGCGGAAATTTATAACAATGAGATTTTTAAAGTTTCCGTTTTACTAACTCAAATATGTGCGAATTTGAATATATAGAATTACTTATTTATTTTATATAAAGAAGAGAAATATGCGTATTTATAGGTTGCGATAATGGAATCAACTCAAAGTTGATAAGATTGATGGCATGTCCGAGCAAATCAATTATTTGTTGAATATTTTTGAGGTGATTAACAAAAGTCGTGATGATAACCTTGAAGCGTCTTTTAATTGCCTCGATTTATAATTTATATGCTGAGACCCATATTTTTCTTTCAAACACTTGTACACTTTGTACGAAACAGTTACAGGAGAAGTTATGGATTGGTTTTATTACGGGAAAAAAGAGCCAATGCTATAGTCGAGCTCCCCGACTATCAGATACCCGTTACTCAGCTAGTGAAAGTGCAAACGAGAAAATTCAACATTTTCTGGAATATCAATAGAAAAAAGTTAATTTAGAAGATATATAAAAAAAGGACAAAAAAATATCACAACATTTTTCAAACGTGTGGTCGTGGCAGTTTTGTGCGGCTTGTGGGCGTTAACGTGGGCGTGGCAGCATGGGTCAATAAACTTGCGCTGCGTCTCCGGAATTTTAATCCTTAATAATTTTTTCATTCCTGAGATCGAAGCGTTTTTTTCCTTAATTTTTTCCAATATTCCAGAAAATGTTGAAAGTTCGCGTTCGCACTTCCACCAGCTGAGTAACGCGTATCTGATAGTCGGGGAACTCGACTATAGCATTCTCTTTTGTTTTTCATTTCATTTCCTTTTCTTTTTGCCTGACCTCAACATAGAGTTCATATGGGCAATACGGCAATTATAAGGAACAATGTTCGAAACGAATATCGATATACATATTATATGTAGGTCGTCTTCCACTGGCTATACACTAGTTTATACCCAACAGGAGGCCACTGAGTGGCAACAAAGGGTGAATCTTGTGTCATAAATTTGAAAATGTTTGCAAAGGATATAAGCATGTTGAATTTATTTTGTTTACGAACTAATCCTTGATAACCGGACTTAAAATTATTATTTTATTTAGTAATAGGAAACTAAGAAATTATCAAATAATCGAAGCACTGTACGAGACTTAATATTGGTCTTCAAGACGGTTAGGGTTTCTTGATGGTTTCATAAATTTAAGTATAAACATCGTTAGTAATAATACGATTCAATATTTATTGTGGAACCATTTAATGTTGCCTGCCCTTAACATAGGTTTCATATAATTGACAATACCGCAATTATCAGGGCAAAATTTGAAGTGGTACCAAATTAATTAAATAATTTATCAACGGATATTGGTATATTGGTCGTCCTCCACCGGATATACCACTTTATACCCAAAAGGTGGACTCTGCGTGGCAACAACGGGTAAATCTTGTGCCTTTGTTATTTCCAGAAGCGCCACAATAATGATCATCCGACGGTTCTACGGCCATTCCCCCCGCCCTATCTTCGCGAGAAGATAGAAGCGACATAGGAAACAGTAAGGAAACGAGGAAATATTTATATATTATATATGTATGTATATAAATATGATCAACTTTGTTATATTCTGTAGGGGTCATGCAACTCATATTTAGATCGACAATGATTTAACATTAGGGATAAGTCATTTCTTGTGCTTGGAACAGAGAAGTTTAGCCCAGTAACCAAGTCGGGACTATAAACTTCATTACGAATATGATTAAAAATATAGACTGTTTCAAGCTTCGTTTTTCGGGTTTTGAACAAGAGCGCCATGTAGTACCAGGTATCCCTATCCAAAAGCTTATTTGTTAATAATACAAACAGAGCAGATTGCGCTTCTGAAGGGTCCAACTTGTGCTGGTAGTGCGGCATCAATATTTCATTGTGCTGGTAAACTAATCGGGACAGGTGGAATCACTGGGTGTGAAACCGGTGCAGACAAATCGAAATCTATAGCAATGCCAAACTGGACTCTCAAACGGATTGATCGGGTTGCTCCGAATCCCTTTTAGCTGCCTCCTCTTAGCAACAATTGGGGAAGCCTGTTGATCACTTGCTAAGCGGTTTTTTTGCGCTTTGGAGATTCCTGTAATGATCAGTCCCTTAAGCCAGAAGCAAAAAGCAGACTGCTTTTCCATGTTTTTTTTATTCAGACCACTATGAAAACACACAAAATCAAAACTTGCAGTTGCGGAGTGCGGAGTGGTACATTTAAAAGTTCCGCAAGAGCGCAGTCAGCTTTTGGATTTCGTGAGTGAGAGTGAGAGAGCGGGAGCACAGTGCAGTTAATGTGCATGCAAAAGCAATACCCAACAGCACTACGGACAACTCACGAAAGAGAGAGAGTAAATCAAAAAAAGCAAGACACACAAAAGGTTAAATAAATTTGTTTAATTGTGCACTAATCAGAAAACATTCAACCGCGAAGTGATCGGGTTTTTATTTATTATGTATACAAAGTAAATTAATAACGATTTTATTAAAAACCACTGCTGGTTTCGGCAAAAGCAAAAACAAATTCGGAGTGCAAAAAAATCACGACCGTTCGCTTTGAAGTCAGTATTTTCGCTCTACTTTACCTTCATCAATGTTCTACGCCTACCGCACGTATGTACATACATACATACATATGTAAGTACTATGCAGACTACAAAATGGCTTCGCAAGCCATTAAACTTGTGAGCCAGCCACTATAGCGCAAAAATAAAACAAAGCATTAAATATGCATTGGAAATGGGAAGCCTTTCACTAAAGACCATACAATTCCGCTAGAAGCGTGCGATGGGAACAAGGAACCAGAGGCAATTCAGATGTCAAGGGGATGCAAGGATGCAAAGCATTCTTAAGGGCGAATGACTTGCAAGAAGTTCTTGAGAATGGAAATATTCGAGCGTTGTGTAAGGTTGGGCAAACAAAACTGCATGCGTTTCGACAATTTAATACTAACAGTTAAGGCCATTATTTCGCATGCCAATTAAGGAATATATATTTACCCGAAATGTGTAACACTGCACTGCACGCTAATGACACCCATCTGAAAGAAATTATCCACCGAATCTGCAAGACCAAAAATAAAAAATAACGGAAGTCAACCATCTTAGCTTTCAACAAACTTTACCTATCCATCTCTTTACCTCATAAACATACTTCAGCTAACCCACAATTCTATGGGTACGCCGACAACGCAGACGAAGAAGCAACAACCTTCCCCCAAATAACCATACCAAATAATACCGATATAAGTAGGTACATAGAGGCAAACATTATTAATGACAAAAGCAATTACATTACGAACTCATTTTCCTGGTACCAATCTATAACCCCAAATAACGAAAACATAATCGATTATACCAAACACTCTAAAAACTGTGATAATAGGCAGGCTTAATTCAATTCCCTAATAGTTCCCATTATGAATGTACATACATATGTATATTATATCATGGCTATGATACAGGTATATCACGGAAATCACGGCTGATCTCCTAGCCGTGTACATATTTTCTACACACTTCTACAAAAAGTTATGTACTTTATTTTAACTAATTTAAGGTTTGGTTGGCATTGGAGTCGATAAACATAATTTTTTAAGCTGCATAACCAATCGCTTTCTCCTATCACATCCCGGGCTTCTATTACTAGCAACTTCTTTTGGGACTTCTTTCAAAATCAGTTTTTAGTTTTAACTACCCTTAAAGTTCTGAGACTACTTAAAATGCAAGCAAAACAAACAGACGCACCATTTGCAAAAATATATTTTTAACAACAAAATCCAAACCGAACAAATTAATTAAAGGGAGCTAGGATTACTACCAGCCCACTTGCTGGGGAGCAGCGTTGTAGGCTGCCAGGTAATACGGCTGCTGGGCACCCACATAGTAAAACTGGGGCGTGGCCAATGCTGGAGCCTGAGCTACGGGAACCACCGGAGCCACCGGAGCCACTGCCTCATCCACGGGCAGCTCCTCCAGGCGAGCTATGCGTTGGCGGAGACGCTTGGGCTTGGCCAGCTGCAACTTGGCCAGTCTCTGTCGGCTGCGTAGGCGGGCCGGAGCGGAGGAGGGCGTGGTGGCCTCCAGTGAGCTCTCCTCGGTGTCCACCTCCTCGTTCTCTGGGCTAGGCTCGAAGGTGTCCACTGGTGGCTCCTGCTCCGACGGCAAGACATCTGTGTCCACATCCTCGGGCGGTCCGTAGGTCAGTGCGGGCTGTTCGGCGGCAGGTTTCAGCTCAGCAGCCGAGGGATAGGGCGTGGGAGCCACCTCCTGCCGGGCGAACGCAACCGGACGCAGGCGCAGAGTCCGCCGAAGTGGCGCCTGTGCCGCACAATTTACGGCGCAGATGGCCAGCAGGAGAAGAAGCGAACTGAGGAACTGATAACGTGCCATGATCGGGGACTTGCAGTGGAGCTGTGTTGGCTGTCGTATATGGAGCTTTAACTTTTATACCTCCACCTGCCGCAGCGGTGGCCCTGCTGATCGGTGGTCACTGGTCAACGATTCTACGATTCCAGCGCAACGATTCCCAGCCAACAACGCCGTGAATTTTAAGCAGAGCGCCGCGATTTGAAATCCATCAATGCGAATGTGTATGTCAAGCAGGCGCCGCACAGTGGAGTGGAATTTAAAGTGATGGCAAATCTATAGCCCTAGTTGTCCAACTGAAGCATAGACCGTATACTTAGTCTCATTCTCAGCGCATAAAAAGTGAAGTTTTCAAGAAACTCAATAGCTCCGTTAAAGTGCGTTATAGTGATAATATCTCTTGTAATGTTGATTTGATATACAATATACTTTCCTATTTTTTTGGTTACAACTTCGACATCGAGTTCCAGCCCATTGCTCGTAGTCAGTGGAGCCAAGTAAAGTGTCAAAGTTAAGTGCCCGCGGGTTATAATTAACGGCCAATGGTTATGGCTTAGACATGGGCCCTTGACTAAATATTGTCACGTCCATAGGCCATCGAAAGGGTGTCCCTCGGAGTGCCAAATATAAGTGGCCGAAAACTTCAGTTTGTATAAAAGGCGCGCGACTTCCAGCTATTGACAACATTCTAAGCCAACTCAGCAGCACCTCAACATGGCCCACAAGCTCATCCGCTCCCTTCTCCTGATCGCAGCCATGGCTGCCGTTTCTGTGGCGGAGCCTGCTAGGTTCCGTGGCCGATCATCACGCCTGCAGTTTGCCCGTCAGGAGCAGGCTCCAGAGGATCAGGCTGCTCCGGCCGACCCCGCCGTGGATATTGCACCCACTCCGGCCTCGGCCCCTTATCCGCCATCCGGAGTTACACCGGAGGTGCCCTTCGACCTGCCCACGGAAACCGAAGCGCAGCCTGATCTAACCTACGGACCACCAGCTGAGCCCGATAACACCTACGGACCTCCGGATAATACTTATGGACCTCCAGCTGAGCCGGACAACACCTATGGACCTCCAGCTGATGACTCAGTGGACCAGGCCCCTGCTGCGGATCTTGTACCCGCCAGCTTGATCCAGCCTCGTAACGAACGCCTCCGCAGACGTCGTCCGATCCCGGAGAAGCTTCGAAGTGCTCAGACCATCCGCTCTGGATCAGTGCTGGTGTACAGCATCTGAAATGGGTCCATCCCGTGTTGCTAGAAATTAATGGTATCGACACATTAGGATACGCATTTATTACTTTGTTGCTAAATAAATAATAAATTGTTGTTGAATATTTTCATTAAAATAATCGAATAATTGAGTATATATTTAAGGTCACCCAAACCTTTTTTCCAATTTGTATATTACAAAAGTTTTCAGACTTGTTTTGAGTGGCAAAACTATTGCTTTATTTGGTGAAGCTAACAGATATATGAACGCATTTGCCATTCCATTAAGATGTTACACACTTGAACTGGATTCGACATGACGGAAAATATTATTTATCCAAAATAAACAAGGTAATGTTCTTCCTTGACAAATATATGATCTATTAACAAAACTGCAGTTTATGACCTAATTTTTTTTTTGTCATTTCGGAGGCTTCAAAATTATAAACAAATATGAACTTCTAGTCGTGTCCAATGTTTAGCTTGTGCAAACATTAAGTGAGTTTCTTATCAATCATTTTGGTGAGACAAAGCTTTGAATATAACAATTTTTGTAATTTGTGTAAGCATCAATAGTACTAAATGATCAAATGTATGTGATTCAATTATCAAAAATTAGAAAAGTAAAAGTAAGTTTGACTTATGAGGACAAAAGGTAAATGGTTATTTCAAAAACTAAACTAATAAAAAAATATAATTATTTTAAATTATATTTTTATTGACCCTGATAAAAACTCAAAGCTTTGAATATACAAATTTTCGGTAATTTGCATACGCACCATTAGTATTTAATTTTATGTGTAAAAATCAGAAAAGTATATCTGTGATACGTTAACAGAATGTAAATGGGTGTTCCATAAACTTCCTAAACTAATATTAAAAAAAAAACAATTTTCATTGACCCTAATAAAAACTGTCTAAATGGGACGTGCTTTTAAAAGTGCGTGCTTGATGGTTTTTTTCACAGCCTATTTTGTTTAGCATGAATACAAAGTTCATCAAATAAAATTATGAACTGCCAAGAACCCAAAACCAAACAAACTCAAAAGTTCACAGCGACACTAAAGCCCACGCCAAGTGTAAATAAATGATTCCAAGGAGGGGAAAGAGGCGCATATTCCAAATCATAGCATTGGCCAATGAATTTCGAAAAAGGGTCACGTATCGGGTATTAAGCAGAAGCTACATCGCCGCCGATCAGCGCAACATAATCAAAGTTTTACCGGGAATAAGAGCCTGAAACTGAAAGTGACGAGCATAAATTATAGCAGAACTCGATCTGATAGCTTGGGGCTATAAATATGTCGAGTCGGATTGAGAAATCAGAACAGAAGCCCTTCAACCGCGAATATGATTAAACCGACTGGCGCTCCAATTGCTATTCTTGTCCTGAGCCTGTTGGCACTGAGTTCCGCGGAACCGATCCGCCGGAGATTCCCGGTGCGCCAGGTGCAGGATATACCCAGTCCTTCGCCCACGGGATATCCGGAGGCGGGCATCACCCCGAGTGTGCCCTTCGATTTGCCAAGTTCCACAGTCAAGCCGGAGAACACCTATCTGCCACCTGATAACACCTATGGACCTCCGGACAACACATACGGGCCACCAGATAACACTTACGGACCTCCAGAGGCCGACTCCGTGCCGGCTGTTGCTCCCGAGGCTGAACCGCAGCCAGAGAATCCCATCCAGACTGATGATATCCCAGAAACTGAGGAAGCATCAGTGGATGGTGCCAGGCTGGAGCCCGCTGATGAGGACGCCGAGGAGGATGAACCGCAGTTGGAAGTTGCTGGGGATGGCACTGTGATCGTTGTAGCCAGCAGTCTTGACCAGCCACAGCCCGTCCAGTCCGCACGACTCTATCAAAGATTTCCTCAAGGACGGCGTTCTCAGAAGCCCGTTCCTCAGCGGCTGATCCTGCGTCGCAATTGGTAGGCTTAAAAAGGTTAGCGTAAGCAACGACGCACTGCATCAGACTTAATCGATCACTTAATACTCACTGCATCAAGAACTTAGAATCTGTTCTTGGGACATCATTCGGGCACCGTACACAACAAAAATGTATTTACAAACTATTACTTACAAAATTCAATTTAAAAATAAATCCATAAACTAATTTGAAGCGTTGCGATTAATGTATAGATCATTGTATTTTTATACCTTTTTATCTCTTATTTCTGTCTAAAAACAGTATACAAGTATTTTATACAAAAAACGTCGGGTGATCGTCTTTTTAAAGAAATCTAGCAACATTTTCATAACAGCCACTACTTACATCTGATGTAGTCGACACCGCTATGGGCACGTATCGTTGGACCTGCCTTATAAGTCATCGGCCTCGAGGTTTCTTCGGGCGTTTGGACTGGGAAGTCCCCAAGGGCATCCCTAGTGGGTATTTATAGGCGCCACTTAGCCTCCCCATGCAGCAGTTCATGTCAGCACCCCACAATGTCCGGTTATCCAACTGTTGCTCTGGCCACCTTTGCGCTCTGTTTCATTCTTTGCCTGAATGGAACTGAAGGCAGTCATCTGAGGTTTCCAGGACCCGCGGCGGGCAAGTTTCTGCAAAGACAGGAACAAGCTCCATATCCACCAGCAGGCCTGGTCCCCGATCCGCCATTCGAACTGCCCACAGAGGAGGCGGTTGAATTTCCTCAGCCAGAGGAGACATATGGTCCTCCAGCTGAAACATACGGGCCGCCGGCAGTAGTGGAAGCGCCAGCTGAGGCCTACGGCCCACCGGATCAAGTTTACGGGCCTCCCGATCAGACCTACGGACCTCCAGACCAGCCAACCAACGACGTCAGCTCCAACACCTTGCCACAAAGCGCAGCTATAATTGATTTGGCAAGTTTGCCGCTGCCACCCCAGGCTCAGTATGTTCTTCCGCTACTGAACCGCTTGGCTGCCTTCCGCCCACAGCGTCCGGTTCTGCTGACTCCGCAACGTCGTCCTGCTAAGCTTACGGCTCGACCTCGGCCCCATACAGCCAAGATTGTGAATGCTATTAGGCCTGCTCCAGTGTTCCCATCGACTCCACAGGCATTGCCCTTCGTGGATCGCCGAATTCCTTTCCGCCCACGACCATCACGCCTGATTGTAAATGCGCCCTTGAGACGCCCATCCAGGCAATAGACTACATCACTCAGCACTCCAACCAATGCTAGAAATGCACTGTAAATAAAGTTTGTTGTTTATGTCTAATTTGCGAACGAAATAATTAGGTAGAAAATTCAGAAGGCCAGCCGCTTCATCAGCAGGTACATGTGCTGGTCCACCTCGAAGCCGTGAAGATTGTTGGCGTCACCCTGCAGTCGCATAAGCAGGCCGCCGAAGGACACGTAGGCCGAGAGCCGGGAGGCCTCATTGTGTGCCTCGTCACCCTCGATCCTGTAGATTTTGCCGTACATCACGTACTCAAAGCTGTCCGCCCGCGTGCCTTCGTGCTCCATTGGATTGTACTCCCCGCTGTCCGGGCAACCATCTTCGCGCAGCGTGGTGGCCAGTACCAGGCGGAACTTGTCACCCAGCTCCATGGGGTACAGCCACGAGTTGATGTCCAGGATGAGGTCCATCTTAAAAGACTCGGACTCGCAGTGCAGGCGGGATACACGGTCGAACTTTTTGCCCTCCGGATCCATGTCCTTCACGTTGAAGATGTCCTCAAAAAGTACTCCAGCCATGTTTTCTGGAAATTCGACAAGTAATTGAGTTAATGCTTTGAAGTCAGTTCAGCGGAGCGCCAAAACGCACGCCTTACCTTGAGTCGTCTGATTAGAGTTTATATGTATTAAATCCTTTACGCAGAGGTAGTTTCGTGGTCTTTTATAAACGCCGTTTATTTCAGCAGAATATTATAATATTTAAACTATTGTTAGCTACTAATTTCCATTTCTTAAATATTTTGCTTGCGCGTGTTTAAGATTCGGCGATGCCAGATCTTTCTGGCGGCTTCGAGCGTTGCCACACCACTACTGTTTCAGTGCGTAAAGTGGTCGTGTTCAGCAGTCTGTGATTTCAGTGTGCAAAAAAAGTCACGTTCAGCACAGTGTATTTCACTTGGTTGTCATTGAGATACGCATAAATATTGCAAGACCTCATTTGAGGTGACTTTTAATTTTACTTGTAACTAAATTTAGTTTGTTGCGGTTTTCCACATCTTACACCATTTTTTTAGTTCACAACTACTGGCTCTGCATCACGCTCCCATCTGTAGACGTGCAGACATAGTCCCTCTGTGCCCATTTATCGGTGAATACCCATCACTAAGATTAAGAACAACATTGTAAAACGAAGGAAAACTGTTATTTATTTTGCTGGACAAATCGGTTTTGGATAAGAAAAGGCAACCCTTCATAGTCCTCAGGTTAAGACGCAGGCAGAACGATGGATACACCTTGAAAAGCCAGTCGGACTGCCAGCTAGCGAATTGCAAAAAGTATGTACACACAGCTCATGGGCGTTGAAATTATAAACAAAAAAGAAGCGAACTCCTAGTCGGACGCGGAATGTATAGAAAGTCAAGGTGTGTCCCATTCGGGGTGACGATGAGTATTCCTGCGAAATGAAGGCCCCTAGCTTAGCGATTCCCGCTTATTGCGAGGGTAAGTCTACGCCTGATCGGGCTATGGTGTTGGTGTTAAATGTGGAGCCCCTGGGCCAAATGTGTAGCATATGTGTAGAATGGTTTGATTTACGTATATGACTATTGTGGTGCTGGTGCATTAATTACTAACCATCGGTTGCAAGACCCCGAAAACTATAGAGTCCTCGAGTTTTGTGCCCTGAATACGAAAGACTTCAACGGCTTCTCCCATTCCTCTTCCCAATCCCCCTCCACCCTCACCCTTAACCCTTACCCACCCCCATAACCCCGCCTATTTAGCATTACAAAACTGCTGTTATGTATTCACCTCTTTATTTTCGCTTTTTGTGTGTGATTTCGCTGTCGTTCGTGCTTTTTGCCCCGTTCTCTTTCAGTTACGATTCCCAGCTCCGAATTCTAGCTTTAATTCGCTTTTTCAACAGTTTGGTCGAGGGCCGTTGTGCAGTTAAAGTGAGTTAGTTTTTAGCTTCTGCGGGTGCGGCTCTAATGAACCATTAACCCTCCGCAGGGCAGGGTGTTGGTCGGGCCGGGATCGGAACGGAATCGGAGGGTTCCCAATCTGTTTGCCAGATGTTCGTCGCAGTCCAGGGTCATTGTCGTCGCTCTCCTCCAGTTGCATTTTCTGTGTGCTCGCTTTTCATTGGAAACTTCGCTGCGGCGGAGAACAGACACCGCGGGATCGAAAACGGTCAGGTTGCACAGCTTTATCTCGATATCTATCTGAAGCTATATTGTGATTTTAGTGAGTGTGTTGGATTGCTTATCAGTTGTTGCCTTCCGCGGGGTCTTATCAGACGGTTTCTCTATCTCGCTCCCGCCCAAACAAAAGATTAAGACAACAAACTGGGAATTCTTTGTGTGGAAGCTTAAGTTCGCTGGAAACGCTAAATGATAAAGCGATTCACTTCGAGACTAGGCTACTTCTAGCTCTCTACACCGCGAAAAACAGTGCACAACATGCCATTGAAACCTGCATTTTAAAAAGAAATTAATACGTTGTATAGTTCAGAACGTTCCCGGTTATTTCCAAATTGGATAATTCATTAAATATGAATATGAATAAATCTAAGCGATTTTGACAACACTGTCAAAACAGTAAGAACTATTGCAAAAGTAGAAAAGTGTCATGCACTTCCAAGCACCTAAATATGCAAACCTCCCAATTTTGGTAATATTTTTCCTGTGCATAGGTCTTATCACTGTTGACACAGCTGGAGGTTCTGTTCCGTTGCTGTTTCTCTTCTTGTTTCTGTTTCGGCCTCACATACGGTTACTATTTCTGTCTGTGTTTTTGATTCTCCCTCTGCTTCGGAACGTGGCGCACGGCGAATGGAGAATTAAAACAGTTCTTAACTTTTTTGCAGCTCATCTAAACTAATCCAAACCAAAGGTGTATGGGAATTATCCTAGAACTAGCAAATTGAACCAAAAAATACGAATACCCTAAATTACATACGTAGAACATTAACACTAGAAGTAAAGCCAAACACAGCTGGTGCCGGTGATTCCCAGGAAGCGGTCCCCAAAAATTTAGTTACGAATCGAAATAATAAAAACCAAACAAATGGTACGCAGCCGCCGCAGCGTGTCCAAAGAGGATGCCGTATCTCTGCTCACGGACAGCGGCATATCATTGTCCTCGCCGCCGGCGGCGAGGGAATCCTCACCAGGCCACACACTTTCGATCAAGAGGCGGAAAAGCAGCTTGGCTAGTCTGCGGGATGCCTATGTGGAGCAGGAAGAGGACGACGGCGGAGAGCAAGACTCAAAGGATGACGACTACGTGCAGCCGCAGCTAAAAAAGACCGCCCGAAAGGCTGAACCGGTGAAACGCAAGCACCATGTCTGCAGCCAATGTTCCAAGGAGTTCGGCGGCAAGACGGATCTGCAGCGCCATATGCTTATCCATTCGGACGAACGACCGCACAAGTGCAAGGACTGTGGCAAGAGCTACCGCCAGGCGGTCAATCTGAAGAACCATATTACCACCGCCCACGAGCATCGTAAGCAGTTCGTCTGTTCCGAGTGCCCAAAATCATTCGCACTCAAGGAGCGCCTGCGACTCCACATGCGTCTCCACTCTGGCGAGAAGCCCTATCTCTGCGCCCTCTGTGACAAAAAATTCGCCCGAGGAGGTCAGGTAAATAATACGACAGTCAATTTTTAATTTCGATTTAATGATTAATGATATACATTTCTACTACTCCAACAAATTATTCGTTGATTTATTATAAACTTAAATTTATATGTTTATAAATTTTCGTTTAGGCTTTTGTTTATATAGTTCATAACCGTAGGTGTTTCTAATATATATTATTATGTATATTGCAGCTGCAACAGCACATGGTTTCTCACCACAAGACGAGTATCCAGCAGTTCAACTGTACCAAGTGCTCGGCCAGCTTCTCAACCAACGCCAATTTGCGGGTGCACATGGAGCGACATGAACAGGGCATGGAGCACCGGTGCAGCATCTGTGAGAGCCAATTCGCCAACGAGCTGGCCCTGAGAGCCCACATAAACCAGGAGCACCACAAGCTGACCCAATTTGAGTGCGAGATATGCCACAAGATGATAGAGCCGGACGAGGATCTGGCCACTCACATGCAGCGGCACGCCGCTGTTAAGACGCACGTGTGCGAGGTGTGCAACACCTATTTTACCCAGAAGAGCCAGTACAATGTCCACATGCGGATGCATACAGGAGAGCGCCCCTACCAGTGTAGGGTATGTAGAAAGGGTCTTAGCTTGCAAGTAACCATAACTTCTATTTCAACTCCCATCAGATCTGCCACCAGACCTTTGCCCATTCGAGCGTACTAAAACTGCACATCCGGAAGCACACGGGAGAAAAACCCTTTCGCTGCCAGCTGTGTGAGGACGAAGTAGCCTTCTCTCAGCTGGCGCACCTTAAGAACCACATGAAGAAGATACACAAACAGCACAAGCCCTACATGTGCGAAGGCTGCCACGAGTTCTTTAAGATCAAGGTGGAGCTGCAGTCGCATGTTGAGCAGTGCGATAAGTGTCCTGTTGGCGGGGACCAACCCAGTGGCAGTCAGTCTGAAGATGCGCAAATCCTGTCTGTCTTAAGATTCAACATGGCAGTGGTACTGAAAAAAATTAGCTCCGCTCAGAAGCTGCGCCAGTTGGGTTACGAGAAGCGTCTGATCGATAACGTTATCATTGCATCCTTAAAGCTGGCTCAGCGACAATCCCATGACGACGCCACGATGACACCATTGGCCAGACTCCGGCTGAATGTGGAGGAATTTCTTAAGTGGATTGTGCCAGCCCCCACAATGCAGAAATTCAGCGACGAATTGTTGTCTATCGACACAATTCTGGAGAAAATTGCCACCATGTATATGAAGCAGAAGTAGAATCCAGGAGTTGCTAGCCAACGCCAAATGCGAGTGTGCCATAGAAGAAGGCTTTGTAGAACTAGTTCTTGCCATTTAGTTTAGTGTTTTACCCAAAGTTTCAGACGAAACCCAACCAAATAATTTATCCCAAAGATGTATACTTTGTAATACAGATCATTTTAATGAATTACTAACCCTAATCCCAATTTCGCTGCTACCAAAAAGT